GAGGTCTGAAAGGTTGTGATCTACGATCTGGCACAAAAACGTGGCAAAGCTAAAGGAATAACAACGGCTTCTTTCAGACGAATTATACATCATTTTTCACTTTTTTTGTTGACTTTTAAAAAATACTAGCTATAGAAACTGTTCTCTCCAGATGAATCTTTTTTTCAGAGTTTATAATCTGCAGCAATACTATGTAAAATAAGAACTGTTTTTTTTTAAAAGTATTTTCTTACGCTTGTGTCTTAGTTTTCTACATTTCAGTCACTGTAAGACTTTTTTTGATGGTACTCTGGACGGCTCTCGAGTTCTTACTCGTCGAGTAACTACTATTGAACATGCCCGAACGAGGAATGACTCTTGATAAGGTTTGGAAATCACCGCACGGCCAAGAAAGATAATCAGCTGCACTAAACACTCGATCGCGCTTCGATGGAGTCATACATTTTCTGGAAAATTGGAAACTGATTTCCCACCCAACAAAATCCCGGAATCGAAAATTTCAAAAGGCCCCAAAAAATCCTTCGATCCTCTCCGTCACTTGAAATCCGGAGACCCCGAAATACCTTACGCCCTGGAAAATACCAATAACTTGCAACGTTCTTTGCGAAAGCCATGAGTAGGGAGGATGGGGGTGAAAAAACACAGTTACCGAACAAAACTGCTGCTTCAAAATTCTCTATTATTATTTTTATTGCAATGCCACAGTGAGAGAGATTTTATCTAAGTAATTCAACAAAAGTCAGAAAAGAATTTAAATGAATAACTTCTAAGTAACAGGTGCTACTGAGGAAAGGATGTTTAAAAAATACCTTATGTAAAAATTACTTATCACCAAACTTTCACATACTTATAATATCCACATCTAAAACTCTACTAAAGGTGCCACACAAACTCGTCCATAGATTAGAAAAAAAAAAGGGCGCAAAAGCCTTGTTACATTTAACAATTTCAGGTTACGCTGTTGCAAGACAAAGACATGTTGCACGCCACTGGCAGCTCTTTTCTTTTAGGGATATCTGCCATTGCTAACTGTGTTTATTTCTTCCCTGCGAGGCAAAGTACGAGCTACATCATATCACGATGTCTAGCGTAATACCATCATCTGCAATTTTTTTTCTATTTTCTTACGCGTCAAAATTTGTTGCAGTATTGCCGCGATCGTTTCGAGAAGAAGAACTTGGCTTTAGTTCTTGCAACGAAAGCGTTACGAGACAAGTTCGTTTTTTTACCATTTACATGGGTAAACCGGTTCAGGAGTGGTAAATTTCATTCCGGAACCGTGTATACGGTAACCCTAAACTTTTGCACAAAACAATTCCTTTTACCGAAACAACGGCCGCGAAAGCCTGAAACTGGTATCAACGGCATGTTTTAACAATGGAACAGGACTCTACGTTTGGAACATTCCGTCCAAAAAACTGAACAGGACTATTTTTTCAGATGTTCCGTTGCTCTCGGAAATTTTCTAATGGAACGATACAAAAAGCCTTGCTACATTCATTATAAAACCCGATTTTCCGGAAACTCTTTGTAAATGGTAAACAACTTTTCATTTTTTGAGGGAGCCGCACTAAGTCACTTTTTGAGAGTCAAGCGGCGTAACAAAACGAAATCGGGAAACGGACTTAAACAAACCTAAAAGTTTTGACACATTTAAACCTGATCCGACATCATCCAATACTGTCCACAAATGAATTATTTCATATATACTTCACCCTGTTCACAATGTTGGATAAAACTGAGCCAGTCTCTTAAATGCATATAAACGCCGGAGTACACGAGATGTTTTGTAAACGACAAAAAATAAGTAGCCCATATGTGTATTCACAAATACTAATTTCACGGCAAAGAAACAAAATCAGACCTCACAGTAGTGTTGAACCGCTGCTAGTAACTGAAAGCTGAAGTTTAATACCACGAATGCAGTCAGTCAAAGTCCGTATGGCACTTGCAGTACTCCCGAGTGAAGTGAACTTCGCCTTGCTTCTCTTTTGACTGCCGGAACACTAGCCACGGTCTTAGTGTGATTTCAGGGAGGATATACGTGAAATAATCTGCTGCAATTTTTTTTTCAAACTTGTTCTCAATCCCTGACGTAAGACGCTAACGTCACCGCTACTTTTACACTTATTTTGCTATATTTATCAGTAGAACTATGACCTATTAAATGACTAGCACTAACCAACGACAAATAAAAATTGCTTCCTCAAGAATACTTCTAAAGTAAAATTTCAAAATTTTCAGCACAGCGTGTGTGTCACAACTTCACTCCACTAACGTAAAATGTACACAGTTGTGAGGGACTCTCACATGGGAGGCAGAATTGCACGACTTAGGGCCTGTTTACATGGAGTGGGAGACCCCGGTCTAGTGGGGTTGGTTTCTTTTGTTTTCACGCTCTGGAGGACACAAAACAAAAGAAACTTACCCCACTAGACCGGGGTCCCCCACTCCATGTAAACAGGGTCTAACTATTATCACATAATATATTAATCGATTTCAGGTGAAATAAAATCACTAAAATATTTTGAATGTTTGGGACGCTAAAAAGGTATAAATAAAATCGCTAAAACGTCCCCTGTTGAAATGATTGAACGAAGATTGATACTTCATATTCTTTTTCATTGATTTCTGTTATTAACATGGTTACGTGAGTGTTCTCTGAACCTGTTAAAAAGACACTAAACTATTCGTTGCTTGCAACAGGAACTTTGATTGGTTTCTTCCACTTGATGTCGACGTCATCATTTCTGAATTTTGGCACTTTTCGCCGCAACGGCACTGAACTGAACAAACAGTTCTTCAGAACACTGGATTCAAACCACTGAGAACCCCTTGTTTTTATAGCAATTACAACGGTTTCACCATTTCGTCTGAAAAAAAAAATAGAATTTTGTTGGTGAGTAAATCAGTGAATAGCCAATTTTATAGTTACAGGTGGAAACGAAGCTAGAGTTGACGTTGATTTGATACAACGTTTCCCACTTTATTATGTAAATCATGTTGTTCTTATGCTAACTAGTATTTTTCAAGCATAATTTCCATTACAAAAGGAAGGAGGTTTGTATCAAAACAAGGTTAACCTCAGCCTCACGTTCACTCAAAGGCTAGGATACTAAGAACGCAACTGTAAAATGGTCTATCACCTTAACGTGTACCAGTACTTTTCAAGAATAATTTGACAACCCCCATGACGTGTTCTTGTCTCTTTGCGACCACTCCCGTAAGCGACCAGCTCTAGTGACGACCAACTTTGTGAAACCCTGTTTGATCTGTGACTAAACTTTGTAATTAAAAGCTCTCGAAAGCAACCGATCCCGCAAGCGACCGCGACCACTTTCTGAATTACCCAACTTGACTTTTCCTTTGTTTTTAGGCTCCCGTGGGCGACCACTCAGAGTCTTATAGTTCGTATAAATCAACGCTTTTGCGCTTATGACCTAAAAAATTGGACCTAAAGTTTAGCCGTGTCTATATCAGATATAAAGACACTCTTCAAACATTTTAAAATTTCTTTTGCTTTTGCTTTATGAATTGTCGACGAGTTTTTGAAGCTCTCGTAAGCGACCACCCTCGGGTGCTTGCGAGAGCTCATTCTCGCAAGCGACCAGCTCTAGTTACGATCACTTTTCGAAGTGGTCGCTTACGAGAGCTTTGACTGTATAGCTCATCGTAACTGTCATCATCATCGTCATCATCATCACAACCATCACCACCACCACCACGATGGCAACAAGAACGGCAAAAGGTTAAAATCGGCAAAACAACTCTGCATGTGCAGCGCACTTTTTGTACATTCCTTTGCCTTCGTTGCGCGCCTAGGCGTCTCCAAATTTTCACGATTCGTTGGGGACGTGAAAACAAACAAGGATTTTCTTTTTCTTTTTCAAACTAATATACACTGCAGTTCTTTAAAATTAAAACTCCGGAAAATTTCAACAACATTTGACAAAATGAACGACAGTGAATAAGAGCGACAAATTTTGAAACAGCGTGAATTCACTTTGTGTGTAGACTGTAAAACAGTCGGTTTTTTCCCCTCAAAAACAGTAAAGAAATCAGTAAAGGGTGCCGTTCGCGCGCGAGCCCCTCCCCAGTCTCGCTCTCCGTTTTCAGCCTCGTTCCAGGTCTTTTGTTTGACTGCTCGCGCGTGCTTGAATACACAAAAATACGGACTGTTTTGCAGTCTCCTTTGTAATAGACGTTTTCGCTACCGCCACCGTCGCCGTCGTTACCGCTGTTTAAGCTCCCCATTATTAGAGACCTTTAGATCCTAAGACGAGAACGACTACGAGTACCAGATTTTCTCAATACTACGTAGTACTCGCGCGTGAACCAGCGTCATTTTGGCGGGAAAATGTGGTAGCCGTCGTCATTCTACTACGAGCTTTAGCGAGAATGTCGAAGTGGCGCAAACAAGTTATCAAATGTTAGAAGTTTTATCATTTTGCGATCGCGAGAGGGTGTAACCTCCTTCACTAAAGGTAACAGTGCTAACATTTCTAGTGAAAAATGGGAAAATGAAGCTTTCCGGGGAGTCTATAATTTCAGAATACGCGAAAAAACGTGAAGTCAAATCTCGTACTCGAAGTCGTCCTCGTCCTGGAATCTAAAGGTCTCTATTATCACCTCCGCCACTACCACTAGCATGTGAACACAGAGGTATTTCCGGTCGAGAGAAAAGACGATCGGAAATACGTCTGTGTTCGCAGGCTACACTATCAAACTCAGAATCACCATCTTAATGTTATCTCATCACCTTAGGTTATGTTCATCACTATGCAGGATAGCTTTTGCGGCGGCAGGAAACAATAAAAGATTCGGCTTCTGTTCACAAATAAGAACGGTGATTTCCGCGCAATTTCATTAACGGAGCGAAGCTGTGCCGCGCCGATCTCCAAAGTGGAGAGTCACATAGCGAATAGGTGTTCACACTTTCCCGATATCGGATTGTGTCGGCACGAAAAGCTGTCTGCTATAGTCAGAACATAGCCTTATTCTCAAAGCTTTTTCGCCTTACCGTCGTATGCTCTTAACAGAGCTTCCAGGACAAATATGAACTGTCCCTAAAAAGATAAAAAAACTATTGAGTGAACGATCAAAAAATGAAAAAAAATAAAATAAAATAAAATAAAATAAATAATGGATTTGGGAGGACTGTCACATTTGCTGATGATCAAGTCGTAAGTGCTTTACTTACTGGAGTTTGTATGAGCGAACACCGTTGATCCCTCATTCGCCGAACAATTTCCAATGGAAAAATAGGTTCTGCTGCCTCGATCATGTTAAACACTGTCTCCATAAAAATCAGCACACCTGTGCGGCCAACACCGGCACTAGAACGAAGGAAAACGAAGCAAAGTGAAGTGAAACGAATGAAAGAAAATGAAACAAAGACCTCTACAGACTTGACGCAGAGAAGTGATAGACTTATGTGCATGCGGGTGTGTTTGTGGTGACTTAAGCGTAGACGAACGAAACTCCAAATTTGGGTTGACCTAAATTAAGTTAAGATCGTCTATTGGGCCAGACGTCGAACTGAGGACGCGTCGAACCAATTAACTGAATCGTATCAAAAAGCAATTTTAATAGATTTTCTCCTAAAAAGGCTACATATACATTATCATACAAAGTTTTAATTTTTTAGTTTAGTTAATCGTATGTGAAGATCGACGTTTGTCCCGGAGACGATCTTCAGACGCTCTACCCGTCTGACGCAAACTGATAGAACGTGTTGGACGATCCAAACTCATTCAGAAAAACTCAACTGAGTCAGACGTCGAAATTTTCGTGAATTTAACCCCCTAAGTTTGGTTCGTCTCATAAAAAGTTCGACGTTTTAGACATGTACACGTTTAAACGAGTTTCTGTAAGCTCCTTAGTGTTACGAGGGTAAATAAACTATTGTTATTGTTGTAAATTATTGTTGTTGTTTTGCCTAGGCCTTAAATGCATGCAGAAGAGTCTAGATTTGGCTACGTTCTTTAAACGACGACTTTTCGACCGGCTAAATAATTGAACCGGACACATCGTTCACACGGAATCTTTCAAAAATTTCGCTCTGTTCATACGAACTTTAAACGCCACGGCCAGACGTCTAAATATTCGTACGGTTAGGTTGGTTCCGTATGAAGGAAACACTTAACGCGCGAATTTTCCACTGGTCGAAAATTCGTCTGCTGCCGTAAGCGACAACGAAGCCTTAATGCATGAAAGCAGCATCAACAGCAAAATGAAAAACAAATTGTGAATACAAACACTAACACTAACCGCATAATGTACGGCAAATTTCAAGCCATTGCCTCTTTGAAAGTAAAAAGTCTCTATCTAGCAGTTATAATGTCTTTGAAAATCTCAGCTATTTCTCCCTCGTCGTTAGATCTTTAATGTTTTGATCTTTTAATAATTACTCTCTTAATGGTTATGTGCAGTGCCTTTACCTAATGCCACTAAACAAGTAAGTAAAATGTAAATAGACTGGTATGAGAGAGTACAGGAGTAAATGTTCTAAAAGCGATTCTGAGCCCTTCAATCAAGCTAACGCCCTGTTCACACCAACTTAACATGTTTAATTAAACCAGGTTTCAAGAAAAAATGGAAATAACTCGGTAATGGAAAACTCAAACTCAGACCTTTACACAAGATTCAATCAACTTTAACATTCTCTGTAATTTGCACATAATTTGCAATAGCCAAGCAGCTCTTAAGGAGAAAACAATTTTAAACCATATTTTACTACACAGTGTTTTCTAAAATTTTAAAAATGTTTAAGCCTTGGTGTGAATGGGGGACTAAGAAACATGCAAGCGGAAAACTATTATTCAAGGCTGATAAGTCTGGGTATAGAGCGAGTGATTACAAGGAGGGAAGTGCGTTACCTTTAACAAATTTTGAACTCTTCACGGGATAATCTGAGAAACATAACAACAGCTTTTGATTTTTCGTACAAGTTTCGAAAGTTGCACCTGTCATCGATTTGAAATCACTGATGCATTATTTTATATTGGGCAAGAAAAATTAGATTGTCACATTGCGAGAAAAATTAGACCATTACATTAGTTTACAATATCGCGTACTAAAAAGTTACAATATATGGCGTGGAAGAGAGAGTCAGGTTTATACGATTCAACGGTAAGTTCAAAATGTTTCACTGCTGTCGACGGATGTGCCGTATAAACATGTGTAAAAATTTCAGAAAAGGTTTTATTGTTTTTAATTCCAAACCATATTGCTGCTTATCAAAATCGCAAAATGTGATTTTTTTATTGCCCTTTTTGGGCCTTTTGTTTATGAAATGGCAGCATTCGTTCTAAGAGGAAGTGAGTCTCTAGGAAACCAATGTTGGCCCTCAAATGAATCTAAGTAGGGTCTTGAATACTTTTCTTGACATGGCGACTACACGAATTAATTAATGAGCTGATTATAATTTATTGAAATAAACTGAACCTTGTTCGCGCGCGTTGATTGGTCGTCGGCTATTTCTAACCAGGGTGTTAACATCCTGACTGGATCGGCTCATAATTACCTTGAGGAAATTTGGTGCCATTAAAGGATATATTGGCCCGAGAGAACAAGCTTGGAGAGCTTTTAAGCCTTACTTATATGCTATTTACTAAGCATGTACACTTGAAAATCGGCGGTTAGCAAAATTTATAGTGCCGGGTGAAATGACAATCATCTGAGATAAACTGAATCTTATTTCAGTGTCTTATTTTGGGGCAACTGTAACCTGAATTACAGGTAAGTTTCGAAACATTTTTTCTTGTACATACTCATTTTCCTCTTTAAACTTTCAATTGACGAGACTGTGTGATTATCAAAGACTTAACGGTAAAAATTTTCTGAAGACTGGACAAATTATTATTGCTTTCTAAAGTCAGTTTTCAATGGAAAGAACCGTTGATCTAGAAAACATATGTCACATGCACTTTCGTAACTTCAGTCAGTATAGTCAGAGAATGGTTACGTTATGACTCGATATCCCGGTTTATTTGATAAATTTTGTTTGTCGCGTTTAAAGTTTGTCGGTTATGGGCGGTGAAAAACGTGTCGAGCTTTGTCGAGACACTCGGCCCATAACATCTGTTATTAGAGACCTCAACATCCGCCGACAGCTAACCTTTTTTGAAGTTCTGGTTGTGCCGTGTTGATTAGCAAAACAACAACTCTGTACGTGCAAGGAACTTTTTGGTACATTCCTTTGCCGTCACTACACAACGTCGACGTGAAATTACTTAATTTCACGTTTTATGGAGGACGTAAAATAGCGTCCACGAAACTTTCTTTCTCAATCTGATTTTGAATAGTGTTTTTAGGAACTCAACTCCAGGAGAGTTCGCCTACATGTGACAAAGCAAGTGAGCTGAAACAAGAGATCATAATATCATGATCTCTTGGTTGAAATAATAGCGATGAAGATTGAAAGAACGCGAATTCAATTCTTAAGCGACGTTTTCTCCGCTGTCGACGTCCTCGGATCTAAGGGACGCTTCAGGGACTTAAGATCCGGGGACGAATGCCGCGGCGAAAACGTCGCTTAAAAACTACATTCGCATTCTTTTAATCTTCATCACTATTATTCCAATTCACTTACTCTGAAATGTAGACGAACACGCCTGGAGTTGACTGAATTCCTAAGAACCACATTCAGGTTCAGAAAGAGAAAGAAAATTTCGTCATGATGGAAAGTTAATGCTCTGTTAATTAAACCTGTTGCTTTTTTGACGTTCTCGTTGTCGTGGCTGTCATCGAATCTTAAGGTCTATATTAAAGTGCTGAAGAAGCGCTCTCGGCTAAAAATGTTTTAAGAAATACGAGCTTTCGACCGGCTGCTCTGCGGTCTTAAACGGACGAAATGATTTAAAACTGAAAACAATTCTAACATAATACAATAGAACAAAAATTTAATTTACCATATAGAAAGAAAATTAAGAAAGAATATATTGAGAAATTTTTTGCTAAAAAGAATGCTATATTGCCGTGGGGAAAGGCAAGAGTTAATATTGTCGCCAATACGGGTGAGCATGGTCTGCCAGGATTCCAGAAACATTCTAACGGGATAATTACCATTGTCTATAAGCTTCAAAGATCGAGGTGTTGTTTAAATCAATATCCGATGGTTATGAGACAAAGCATGATTAGCGAATTCTGGAGCCTTTAACCCGCTGTTTTCACACTGCTCGTTTGTAGCGAAAGATCTGCCCGTTTCTCTAATATAACTCCATTAAAAATTGCAGCACGGAATTTTGTAGACATAAGAGAGATTTAGAGTAATGTCATTTACGGCAAACGGCAACTAACAACGTGAATTTGTACCACGTGGCCAAGTTTTCCCTTGGCTTATCTTTTACTGTTCATTACGTCTACACAAAAATTAGTAATTTCACGCCATTGTCACCCATAAGAATTGTTTTATTTTCTATTTTGAGAAATTCTCAACTTGAAACTGACTTTGCAGTTTACCGTAAACGTGGCTGTAAGTCAGAGAGATAAGTACGTTTTATAGCTTTTAGTTACACTTAACTGATTCTTAGGGCCTGTTTACATGGAGGTGGGTAACCCCAGGTAGGTGAGGTAACCTGCTTATGTGGGGTAAAAAAATAACCCTCCTTTATATGCAATCTTACAACCCCACCATCCTGGGGTGCACTTTCTCAAGATTATTGAATGGTCGCTAAGCACGTAAACAAGAAAAATGCTGGCAAACCACGTGTTTTGGCGATTAATGCACTTCTACACTCCCTTGTTGCTCTTGCTGCAACCTTCAGTACAATGGCTTTCTATTGTTAACTTTAATAATGATGCAAAGCCACCGCCAAAGTGAAATTTGCAAGAATTTCATGTATCACGAATCCGACCCCGGCCAGGCGGGTTACCCCACCTTGAAACGTTTACATGGCAAAATTTGACCCCGGCTGAGAGGGTAACCCGGTCTGGTAGACCGGGCTACCCGCCTTGGCGGGTCACCCCACGTATCATGTAAACGTGATCAAATTAAAATGAGAGATTATATGGACAGGCGGGTTACCCCACCTAAGCGAGTTACCTCACCTACCTGGGGTCCCTCACCTCCATGTAAACAGGCCCTAAGCTTTATATGTGTCCCAATCAGTTGCAAGAGGCGATAGAACGTTTAGAAACCCTAATAAGCATTATGTAGGCACAGTTTACAAGGTGGCGACATTATAAATATTTTTTTCCGCGATCGAAAAGGACTTACCATAAATAGGTGTATACCTTTAAGAGAAGGAACTATAACAAACGAAAAGTTTTTAGGCCTTGTCCACACTGATGAGTTTTCAAAAACTTCTGTTTTCTTGCTAATTTTGCTGTTCCGCACGAACACAACGTGAAATTTCACTATGCGACGCTAAACTATGATGCGCTACCCAGCACTTTAACGCCTGGGAAATTCATCTACAAGTGACCGGCATTTTATGGGAGCTCACTCTGGAATAAACACGATAATGTTCGAAAAAAACGTGAATTCGTCGCCATCGTCGTTGCTAAAGCTCCCTGTTAAAACTGAAAACAAGATAGAAAATGTTCCGCGTCCATATTAGCCAAAGACAACACATACTTCGGCCACTGCACGTATGTGCACTGCTAAATAATATACTCAAGCGCTCTAACTTTGCTTTCACATTCTTACGGGCAGTTTGCCAGTTGGGGATGGAAATCTATTTTCCGATTAAAATAATGGTGTTACAGAACATTGCGATCGCAATACTCATCATCCCCAAGTGATGCACTGCCCGAAATCCCGTAAAAACAAACCCAAAGATCGTGAATATATTATCAAGCATAAGGGTCTTCTTTGCAGTGGAAAGGTGGATTGTTAGCAATACTCGAATTGGGAGCTGTATTTCTCCTTGACCTTAGGAAGCTCGGCTTTTACGGTGCTACCTAACTACTACAGGTAAGTGTTTTTCGCAGTTTGTATAGTTTGTTTTGTTAACATTTGTTTCGACTACGATTATGGACCAAATACGCAGTCAGATAAAAACAAGATACAACTTCATATCACCGCCCTTCAAGTAGCATAAGTTCTTGTCATAGGGCTTACTTGACGTAGCAAAGAAAGAAACCGCCTTTCGAGGGATCTCAAAATAGTTGGCATCTGTTGTAAAAATGAAAGTTCAAATACACGCTGACTCTTAAAGATTTCTATACCTACAGCGAAACATCGTAGCAATCGTTTAAATCTTTCCTACCATTCAAAAAATAAAAAATAGAAAAAGAAAAAAACAAAACAAAACAAAACCAGCACGCTAATAAATAGGTTCGAACCACCTTACAAGTTAAGGACGGTGTTATTTTCGGATACTATTTTTGTTCGAAGGCAAACTGGTTCGAAATGTTTTTTAACGTAAATATTTAGAAACCACTCAAGAGACGGGAAAGGACGAGAAAACAAGCCTGTAAGTTCACAGATGCACCTGTTATCGTTGCCTTGAGATGATAAACAAAACATGAACAAATTAATTTGTCCGTCTACGACAAGCCATTAAGCAGAGCACTGATTTTATGCTCAATTTAAAACTGCTTTTAAGCAATTATATCTTTGACGCTTTGCTACTGCTATCAAACTGATTAACTGTCGTAAATTTTTCGTTAATATCGTTAGTAACAAAAATGAATCGTTAGCAACAAAAATTAAGGTCCAGTTGCTTTTTTCATTTCCACAAAAATCAGCTTTTTGTATTTTCCAGCTGTTCATACACGTTTTCAATAAAGCTTTCAGGATGCGCAAAATAACTTTCTACTTAGACTAAAATAATAAATAATTCAGACTTAGTTTGACAAATGGTTCGTCAAAGTAATAGACAAGGTGTAAAGGAAATGAGATTAACTTTTTATGTTGTGATTTGAACGACAATATCATGATATTGGTAATTCAGTCTTTTAACTGATATACAACTCGGTTCCCCTACTTTATTTCAGACTGAACATTTAAAACAACATTTCAAAAGCCTTCAAGGCTCGTTTGGAAAGATCAAATAGACTAGTTGCGTGCTCGGAAAAAGGAAGTTTGTTCAACGGTAGAAAAGACGAAAAAAAGATTGTGTGCAAAGGTAACATATATCAAAGCAAGATTGGCACCAGAAATTCAGGACGGTGCAAACAATCCAGGGCAGTGGCCGTTTATCGATGCAAATTGAAAACCAATTTTGCGAAAGAAAACAGATTAGGGTGTATTTAATTTTTTGGTTATAAAACTGGTCACTTTTTCGTTACTATTCAGCACTGATTTTACGCTTTGTTTCAGGACAACACTGTCAAGGACCAGCAAGTTTTAAGTATTCTACATAGCAAAGGCTGGATAATATGACAAACTACACCGACGAAGGCAAGAAGGGAGTCAATAACCACGAAATAATCGTCATTGTGAACTTTGTACTCAACGTTCCGCTAATTCTCATATCAATCACCGGGAACTCTTTGGTGTTAGCAGCCATCTTGAAAACTCCTTCCATTCGAACGCCTTCTATGATCACGATTTCCAGTCTCGCTGTTTCCGATTTGCTGGTGGGAATCATGGCTCAACCCCTGTTTCTTGTTAACGAGTTCAAGAACTTAACAGAAAGAAACCTGTTATTACACTCGCTGACTTCTTTAGCAGGTTTTTTTGTCTGCGGAGTCTCTCTCGGCACGACCACATTGATTTGCGTTGATAGGTTCATGGCCGTGCAATATCACATGCGATATTCCTCAATCGTGACTAAGCCTCGCGTACTGTATACGGTGGTTGTAACGTGGTTGTTCACTTTCTTATGTCTAGGACTTTACTTTTGGAACAAGCCTTTGTATCACTTGCTGGCAGGAATTTACACCGCTATATGTCTAATCATTTGTACATATCTTTACATCAAAATATACGGAATTGTTCGCCACCATCAACTGCAGATTCGCGTCCAGGAACAAGCCGTACACAGCTCAAACGTTGGAAGCCAGCACCTTATGTTGCGTCTGAAAAAAAGCGCTTTCAGCACTTTCTTGTTCTACATTTGCATGGTCATTTGTTTTTTTCCAAATGTTATTTTAATGACCTTGTTTGGTACGGTATACGCAACATGGCGACCTGAATGGGACTTAGCCACGACTGTGGTATTCATGAATTCGTCGATCAATCCAATTTTGTACTGTTGGAGACTGCGTGAACTCAGAGCCGCGGTGACGAAGATTGGAAACAAGATGTTACATAAAAAAACAGATGAAGATATCGTGACAACCACATACGCGGTCTGAAGGCAGACACAGGAAAGGTTCAAAGAGATTATATATGTATATCATAGAACCTAGAACAAGTGATATTCATTATCAAGTTGGTAAACCTGTTTTACCGTATTGCAAGCAGGCAATAGGGAGTTTTAGCATCGACGACGGCTACGACAGCGAAATCGTCACTTTTAAAATGACTTAGCGTTTTCCAAACTTTATTGCGTTAATTCCAATTCACTAAAAATGTCTAATATAGGCAGATTTCCCTGGGGCTCATTTCTTCGGGACCCACTCAAGTTTAGAAAGAGAAAGAAAATTTCCCTGTCGCTTGTTTACGTCCTCCATAAAACGTGAAATTAAGCTGAAATACCACTGCTCTAAGCCAATCAAATTGCAGAAATTTTTCATGTAGTAGTATAAGGCGTGAAATTAGGCATTTTCACGTCGTAGTCGTGGAGCAACGGCAAAGAAATATACAAAAAAGCGTGATGCACGTGCAAACTTGATGTTTCGTTTAATAAACCTGTTGCTGTTTTGACGTTCTCGTAGCCGTCGCCGTCGTCGTTGCTAAAATTTCCTAATTCGGGACCCTTCTCGCCGTTATTTTTGTCTACCACAACGCACTGCAAACTGCGTAATGGTGGAAAAAAACACGAAATACTAGATTGCGTTTTAATCTTTTAGCCTTGATGTGGCTATGGTAATGTATGATAATGAGCTTAAGAGAAAATAAAATCAAATAAAAAAAATCTTCAAATAAAATTTAAGCCAAGGATGATCTTGAACCACAACACATATTCAATAAAAGCAATTCAAAAACATCCCGCACTTTCGCCTTTTAAACTTTTATTAGCCAACCGAGTAATCAAAAGAGTATAATTTAAAATGTATATGGACACCAAGATTTTGTTTACGTTTTGGATAATATTGTTTTCTTTGTCAACATAATGCACCGTATTTTCTTACGTATACTTCGGCCACCAAACTTGGATGTGATTTAATTTAATATTTAACATTCTTTGCTTTTCAGGTACGTCTATCTAAGAAAGTTTTGTCTATTTGCGTTCATGCTGAAGCGTTTATAATAGAGCGAGGATATAATTTACTGATTGCTTTGACTTTGCAATGCTCTCTTTGTAAATGGCTGAAAAATATCTCGCCGCATTCTCAGCACGTGCGCGCTAAAACAAAGCTAGTCTTCACTTTGTCGAATACGTATTTTCCAGGGCCCAGATTAACTCTTAACCCAGGTTTCTTTTTTTGACTTTGCAATGCTCTCTTTGTAAATGGCTGAAAAATATCTCGCCGCATTCTCAGCACGTGCGCGCTAAAACAAAGCTAGTCTTCACTTTGTCGAATACGTATTTTCCAGGGCCCAGATTAACTCTTAACCCAGGTTTCTTTTTTTGGTTTGAAAAGCATTTTCTCGGATAGTTTCTCTGTTATTTTTAAGTGCTTCCCATCATCAACTTGTCGACAAAAAGAATTAAACTGAATTTACTTTTTAAGCTTTCATATCAGAATTCAAATTTCGCACTAACCCTGGTTTATCTAAAACCAGCTTTGAACAACCCGGCCCAGCCCTCTACGCTGCTCGCGTGTATTTTCCTCGAGTCCTTGTTTGTCTATTTCGTTTGCATAGCTAAGGTTCGCACTCTACCGGACGAATTTTCGACCAATGAAAATTTGTGTGTTTAGGTGTTACGAACGTTCACAATGAACCACCTTAACCTTACAAAAATCTAGACACCGAGCCCTCAAGAATTTGAACGTCAACATCTCGGTGAAAGTTTTAGCCGGTACAGTCAATGGTTTTCAGAATATGTACGTTCAGGATAAGAGAAGAATTCGTGAATTAGGATCGCGTCTGCTTAGCTCAGTGCACACGTCTGCACTTTGGTGTGAACACCAAAACTGTCTTAATTTTGGTTAGGCAAAGTCGTGGTTGCATGGATGCGTGGTAACTCAGGTGTAAAACGCCATTTTGGATCTGCAAATTTAGCGCTCTGCGCATGAGCAGATAGTAAAACCACTGGGAAAAAACAAAAGTAATCGGCCATTTCCGAGTTCCAAAAACTCTTACGTTCAAAACGAGGCTAAGTGCAAAACCTTTCTTGTTAAAATGAGTTTTATCTCATCGAAAAATCTGTATCAAATTCTGATTGTAGAGTCTATGTATTGAAAATTATCAGTCAAATTAAGACTAATACCACGTCACTAAAGGTGGCTGAACACTGTTTTGGCAGTTTCTGAGAATATGTCATTTGCAAAATCAAGGCAAGAGAAAGGTTGCAGCTCACAAGCTGAAACTTGGCAAGTGAAAAATATAATGATGAAATATTTTGATTGACAGGTAAAATTTGACGTTTTCGTAGTTTCCATGGCAACATGAAGGACTGAATACAACATCAAAATTTCACTTCCGATCAGTTTACATAAAATTCGCTCATTAGATTTTCCTATAAACTTGCACATATCTTACTACAATTAATCATTACCATTTGAAACTTATTTGACCAAATATTAACCGACGGGTTTTTAGATAATCAGTAATATGATTGTTCTGTAATTATTAAACGTGTCACAAAATTCGTCCTTTCAACTTCCACTTTAAAGTTCTCATTATTTCAAATGTGATAAAAGTAAAAATTCTGCCAAATATCACAAAATATTAGTATGTGTAATCAAATGGAGACGAGTGAAATTAGGGAATAATTTCACGCGCGTTTTGTCCAAATCTTTATAATTTTCCGCGCCTTTAGGCGAGGGAAATTATTAGGATTTGGACAAAACGCAAGTGAAATTATTCCCTAATTTCACGAGTATACCATTTGATTACCTATTAATATCATGGGTGACGAATTACGTTAGCTGTCTTGGATTTTGACATGTTTATCCTGGATCGTATCTATCGAGAACTCCTGCACTCTCTCGAACGTTTAGAGCTCAAATTTGGCTTAAGTTCAGAGTTTTTGGACAAAATACCTGTTAGAATCCTTCTCGATGTGCTCTTTCGTGTGTTCAGGTTTTCTAAAGCGCCTTTTTCTGCCCTGACATCTTCATTCATGACATTTTAAAACTTCGTCGCCATCTTGACACTGAGACGTACGTTAGGTTGCCATGGGAATTTTGTAATTTCACATGTGAAATTACAAATTAACGCTGAAATTTCGCGCCAGAATTAAGGAGTAATTCGTCAACTTCGATATTAATGAGTACATTTTGAGAAATCGTCTTCTGTGTACCATTGCTTTTTTCGTCGCCACGTTTGTTTGTCTAATTTAAAACACACGCTACCGCTGACCGCCCGCAAAACTGTGCTCAGCCACCTTAAGCGCGCTGAGCGCCATTAGTTTTGACATAACTTATTTCTCCTCTTTCAAGTCTTCCTTGATGTTTGCGTAAAAATCTGAAAGTCTTTACCTGTCATCTGTTACAAAGTCAAATATTTGATGAGTAGCAGCCACGTTAACGCTAGTAATCTCTTGTATTCATTTGCAAATCAACGATACATTGATATTCCATTTTGATCTGAATAACAATTTTCATCAGTTAACCTGTAGTATTAAAATCACCTCCGCCTACTTGTTTTCCTAAAATAATTTTCAGGTTTAGACAAACCTCAAGCAATGATCTGAGAAAAAAAAAACACTTGCTAGCAACATTCACATCACAAGAGAGCTTGTTTTACCTATCTCGCATAATCAAAACATCATAATGCAAAGTCCGGATCAAAGTCTAGACAACAGTCATCGATCGGTGTATTAAAATTCGGATTCTTTTGTTTGTGAAATTTATCTCTATCGTGACCCCCAGGTTAAAGAACAAGGGGCATACAAGTCGAAATCGAAAATTTTAAATTGGTATTTGCGTGGAGCAGTGAAGATATTGCTGACAAAACACTGCGTTGAATAACAAGACACGTGAAAACTAGAACGTCGCTTTGACTGATCCCTTTCTCGGAGAAAAAGAGAGCGCAGGTCGGAGCAGCTGCTTTGAAAAATCAACTACATTTAGCGTGCGTTATCAACTCCAATGAGCTTCACTTCCGCCCTTCGCCGTTGACGAGCAACGGGATACAGTACTGAGGAAATAAAAGTGGAGATCTAAGTTTTCAACTGGAACAGAGACTGGGTGAAAAGATGGACGACAACGATGGAGACAAAAACATATCTGCTACTCAAAAAAACATAGCCGTCATCAACTCTGTGATCAATACCCCTCTGATTCTCATCTCTATCATTGGGAACTCATTGGTGTTAGCAGCCATCTTGAAAACTCCCTCCATTCGAACGCCTTCAATGATCATGATTTCCAGTCTCGCTGTTTCGGATCTTCTGGTTGGAGTCATGGCTCAACCGCTTTTCATTGCGAACAAGTTCAAAAGCATAACAGAAAAAGACTTGTTTTTGCAACATGTAACAGTAATGACAGGTTTCTTTCTCTGCGGAGTCTCTCTTGGTACGACTACAGTGATCTCCGTGGACCGGTTCATGGCCTTTCATTACCACATGCGATATTCCACAATCGTGACCAAATCTCGCGTGCTGTGTACCGTGACAATGATTTGGTTGTTCACTTTCTTATGCCTGGGGCTTTACCTTTGGAATCATCCTTTGTATCATTTGCTGGCAGGAATTTACCCCGCTATTTGTCTCATTATCTGCACATATTTTTACATAAAAATGTACGGAATCGTTCGACATCACGACAAACAGATTCGCGTTCAGAAGCAAGCAGTAGAAATCTCAAGTTGTGCAAATAACACGCACATGCTTCGTTTGATAAGAAGCGCTGTTAATACGTTCGTGTTTTACATCTGTCTCGTTATATGTTATTTTCCAAACGTTGTTTTTATGACTTTGTACGGGACAGTATACAGAGAGTGGAAAACCGAATGGGATTTGTCGACGACTGTGGTATTTATGAATTCTTCAATAAACCCGATTTTGTATTGCTGGCGACTTCGAGAGCTTAGAAAAGCGATGGTAAAGATTGGAAGAGGCCTCTTAAATAAACAAACCAATGACTGATATGGAAGCAGTAACACACATAGCTGAAAACAGTTGAAAAGTTACCTACCGATGCTCTTTTAGATATGACAACGAGTTTGATCTACAGTCAAATCCCGTTAATAAGGAAACTGAGGGGGCCACAGAAAGCATTAAGTATTAAGGTGGCTCGATGAGATTTTTCAGGGTCAATACCTCCCGAGTTTGAGCATAATCTACGTCGCCATTCACAAAGATTTGGAAAAATTACCATCAAGTGGACCAAAACGTTTACAAAACCGCTACAAAGAGCGCCTTGATACATACTTATCATATTCTTCTTTCTAGCCATCGGTTAAAGCTACTGTCACCATGATCTTTCATATGTTTTAAAATGATTGAAACTACTATGGGGTGAAATTGCATTTTAAAAGCGCTTCGTTTTCTACAGACAACGGCCGAAGATCAAGATTGTCCAGTTTTGTCCAGTTCACTTTAACTACCAAAAAACTAAATTCTTGTCAAACAACATGAACCTCGAGCAGGTCCATTTGTAAGATTTGTATAGTTTAAAGAGCATAATTGAGATGCCGTCTATTCTGAAAGGCTAACCTAGGTGCAAATAACGAAAAAAACTGGACTATTTACGGACTAAAAGCTTAGTGGCCACTCGATTAAGGCTGAATTTAGTCCCCGAAATGTCCTCAGACTTTTAATGAAGCGCAATGTGGCACGGGTGATAAGCACTTAGTGAATGAACCGCAAAATATGCTTTTTTCTTAAAATAGCTTTTAAATTAAGATGAATGAAAATGTAATGCTAAAGAATATATTAATCTTTCAATAGATAAAATATTGGAAAGACCGGTAGCAAACGGGAATTCAGTAATGAACAGAAGTATACATAAATACGTTAGAGGCACAACAATTAGTAATTTTGGAATGACGATGATGTAAACCGCAGAAATACAAATTTTAAATAAAGATACGATCGTCGCAGTGGTAACTGCAATTTAAGCAATTGCAAATTAACCCAAAAACATTTCGGGACTTCAAAGGGGTTCGAGCCCATGGCCTCTGAGTAAGAGCTGCAGCGCTCTACCAACTAAGCTATGAAGACTCATATATGACAAAACCTCTTTGATACCAGTTTCACGCTTTTGCGGCCGACTGATTTTTGCAAGTGGTTTTACCAGTCCTGAGTTTATTGACCAATTGCCCACACCGTAAACCAACTGGTTTGCCCATGTAGATTAAATGGTAAACAACTTGGGTTTTTAAATGTTTAAGCTTCCTAGAGACCGCAACGACTAGCTTTACTTCACCTGAACTACTACCAATTACTACCAATTCGGTACATACCTGCAGTGCAATACAGTTGGAGTGTTTGTTCCTTCGCGGTAATGGCGAACGATATGAATAAACTCTAAGAAGTCCGTCGAATCGTCAGGGACATCTATGGATAATTAAAACAGAAAACATATTTTTATACTGCTGTGAAGTTTTAGCAAAGTACCGCCCGTCAGCGTGTTACAAATCTAAGAAAACAAGGTAAAATAATCGAGAAACTCGAACATTTACTTCCAACGACCTTTCCCTACAAACGGTCTTATGAAGTGGGAGATAGGCCGTACAATATACAAAAATCACTGAACAACCGTTTCCAAGAGGCGTTACGATCCGGAGAGTGAATGTTTAACAGATATCACTTTTCAGTTAAATCAGGTTCAAATTTCTACTTTAAAAAATACGAGGTAAGAAAAAACATAAGGCGTACGCAACAGCAAAAGCTCGACTTTCGGGCGACGTTTAATAACATTTAAGCCAAAGGTAAATCTAACAAGAAAATTACTGTAAAGTATCATGTTCAGATTTCATTAGCAACGAGTTAACAAGTTCAGAAAAAAAGGTGCGTCCTGTTCTATTTATAAACTGACACTTTATTTTTCAGAAAAAGCTAAACATTATCCTAACGGAAGTTTTCCCCTCTAAGTGTCAACACCTTTTAAGACCAAAGAAATGTAATATAAATTGCTTAGTATCAACTATTGTAATCACGGTAACTGTTGGAAGGGCTAAAAAAAAAACTTACTACAACGAGCAAAAAGTGATAGTATTTTACATTCCTCTAACTGTCAATGATCAGATTTTTTTTCTTTCATAAAACCCAGAATAATTTATCTCTCCGGAACTATAAACGTCAAAAACTTTGTGAAACGGCTCAAAAACAAGACAAAACTAATGACCGGTAAAAACATGTCAGAAATCTTTCTGGGAATAAATGAGCATATCAATTTCTTTTCGAGTAACGACTTTAACGCTTCAAAATTAATCAATTAATTTTGTCACAACATTTATCACCCGTTCAATCGCCAAACGGTTCAGTTGCAAAAAAAGCTAGCAGCTCTGCCCACAACAATTGCCGGTCGAGGCAGCGAAGACAAGTTTATGATACCCATCGCTCAAACTGAGATAAAACTTCCGCGAAATATTTGTTCAGGTGGCTAACAGCTAAATATCCTTTTTAAATAAAACGACATTAAGCCAGATCTTGATAATTACACTAGGAAAGAGCATACACGAAAACAACAAAGTTCTTTAAAAAGAAAAAAAAAATTCAGTTCATATGTTGAATCTAATTTTCTCTTCAAACATTTCAAGGGCGATTTGACACGCAAGGCGAAATACGGCTTTTTATTGGTTAAATTTCCCCGCCAAAACAAGTAACTGCAACAAAGAAGCGACCAACTTTCTGCACGTCCTACCAGGTTTGTTCCATATTTTTCATGTTTTGAAGCGAGGAACGAATTTGGTTCAACGCATTTCTCGCCAGGAGTTATAAACAATGAGTACCTTAAAAGTCTTCATCGAAAAAGTCGGCCAAGCACCTGCACCAAGCAAAGATTTTCACCAACTTGTTGTGAATGAAAGAGAAGTGATTTGGCGAACATGGCGGATTGCAATCCGAAGAGACCAGCGAGGATTACCTCCAAGTCAAAAGAAAGTCTCATGGGATGAGTTTGACGATGATGCTCTTCTTCAAAGCGACATTAGCCGTGTATTTGGCGAAGAAACGCTTAAACACGTTCACGCTATTGTTTGTGGTGACTGGCTTATTCGACTTCCACCTCGAGTTCTCGTTCACATTGCCTCGTTTCTTGATCTGATCGATGTAGTTCATTTGGGAGCTGTTTGCAAGTTTACGAAGAAAATTTGTGCGAATGATTTGCTGTGGGAAAAGATATTTATGACTTATTGCGACAAGGTTACTGACGAAATGAAGATCCTGGCCAAGGAAATTGGTTGGAGAAAAGTTTTCTTTGCGAATAAACTGGAACTACGCGTGAAATTGCGGCGATTAAAAAAGAAATGAAAACAAAGTAAGCTTTCAAGTTAAAACACAAGTGTTCGTCTCCCGAAAGTAATTGATGTTGTTGTCGGTAAGACAAATATGTTTTTCTGATATGAGATCAGCAAAATCTGGCGTAAGTTTAGGATATAAGCTTAATTTTGCAACGAATCTTGAGCTCACTGAAAAGTCTTATCCTCTGATTGAAAATAAGTAAATGTGGTCTCGAATAACATTTATTCTGATAATTACTCACAAGAAGTCCTGTAAAAAGATCTTGCCTTTATACATACTATCAATATTTTTGCAAAATTAAGACGTTTTCAGTCACTAATAGCTTTGTAAACGTTTGGCGGACTTGAATCTGTTTGGAACATTTTGTCAACGGTTTGGAAAAAGACGGTTTTTTGATAAGAGTTGAAATAAAAATACACAAAATACCTTGTGGTGAATCTATTATTTTAAATCATCCAAAAAGCAAAACTTCAAAAAATTGAGTATTTTAAGCTTCAAAATATAGTCATTAATCTTACTAATTTGAACATAAAGCTTATAAATACTAAAACTGTGACATTTTCATAATTTAGCTAAGTGAATACTTGTATCAAAACCTAAAACGTTAAATCACTCTGTGCTGGGAAGTGGGTTTTAAAAGTGCTAAAATCGATTTTTTGCCTTATTTTACTGGTATTTTTTTCCATTCAGGTTTTTCAGAATTCATGTCAAAAGCATCTTACTTTACTGGAAAAGTCAGTGTTATTAAATCCTGACCTTTCAACCATACCAAAGGTCAGCAACTGAGTTCTACTTCAAAGGAAAAAATAGTGCTCATGTTTACAGAGCTTTTTTTTTGGGGGGGGGGGGCTCTTTTTAGTTGTAAGAGCGGGTTTTGATAGAATGTTAACAAAAAACTTAGAAAAAGAAAAAGGGCGCTGGACTGTTCTGAAAAGAGAACAAACCCACAAAATAAGGTGAAAATTTTGATGTGAAGCTGCAGACTCCTATAAAAATTCGGTTCAATTTTCAGAACTTAGCTAATTATTATCGATGAAAAATTGCTCTGCAAAGATAAATTCCGTAAATCCAGTGAGTTTCTTGGGGGTTTATAATGAACTACATTCTGTAGTCGGGCTAAGTTATTGCAGAATGAACACAAAGTCTCCCGCGGCTTCGAGCATGCGTTACCTCGTGTAAAATGGCACAAACTGTCCCACTACAATTCATGTTCATATAAAGGAAAAGGGTTAGGATGGGGTATAGCGGAAGATTGGACTATATACTTACCGTGATCCGGCCACGCAATGTACTGCAACTGAACAACAACTCTGCTTCGCAAGCTCTGGAACAGAAACACGAAAGACGAGAAGACATAAATGAGTTGTTATAAAGATCAATTAAAAGCGACTCAGATAGCGACATCTCTGTTCCCACTTCAAGAGCGAGGAAGGCAAGAAAACGGACACACAATAATTGCAGTACCTTTGAGTCAGTGACGTACATTTCGCGGTAAACGTACGATGGTGAGAAGTCACGGATTTTCGTGCAGATGACTTCCAGGTTTTTAAACGTAAGTGTTTCTTCTCCTTCTGGCCAGTACTGATGGCATTTTACCTAAAGACAGAAAAAGATGTACTCATCAAATTTAACCCTACCTTATCTGGGCTTCGTCAAGCGTTCTCTCCATACACGCTTGTTGTGTGTGGATACAGGAACTAGGCAAGTCAGACATTACGATGTTAAGGCGTCTTCCCAGGACTACCCGGTCAATGCATTTCGGTGACGTATCCAAGACGAACGGCAAAGAGAAACTCGCTATGACCACGTGACATGAAAACCGTTGGCCGCGTGTGACCATTCAAATGAAAACTACGGAGCAGTACTTTCCTGTTGTACTGTTTACTATGCCGTACAAGGTGGTTCTAACTTTTGGGTCTGTGGATGAAATCCTTAAGTGTGATCATTCAAATGAATGCTCCCGAGCAGTACTTTCCCGTGATACTGTTTGTTATATTGTATTAGCTCGCTTTAATTTAACTTAGTCCGCGAAGAAAGCCCTAAAGTGTAACCATTCAAACCACAATACACAATTAATATATTTACCCTTCCTCTTTCTACTGTTGTTGTAAGCATGATAATAAGAGAAGCCTCTTGTTCCCAAACCATCTGGAACGGAACAAAACACAAGTCATCTCAATGTTCTGATTGTGTAAACAGCCGCTTTGCAACTTGGGGTCGAATTACCTATCTCATGCTGAAATTATGGGATACAAACCTACCAATACCAGAGGAGGGGAGACCATTAAAAAAATAAAGTGTCTGCCTGTTTTCAGGTTTCAAACACCTCAAATTGGCTTCTTAACTAATTTTCCATACTCTTTCCCTATCTCTGGTATTGTTGAGGTTGCTTCACATGATGATTTACATTACGTACGTCACGTGACTGCGCGACTAAAGGGCCCAAAGAACAGCGATGGAACAGCGTCGTCCCAACCAAGTCAGCCACTCTGAGCTACTCTGTGGCACTCAACTGACATAAAACGCGCCGAAACACTTAAAACCGACTCCTGGTTTTGCTTATGTTGTAAGTCAGAATGAAATTCAGGTTAAAATGAATTAAATCTACTTTGATTCTAACTTTGCTTTGTCTGGGATCCCTAATTATTCATGATCGTACAACAGGGCACATTCTACCTGCCAGAAGTCTCCACACGTCTTTTCTAATGGTCCTTGGGCAGCTATGTATCTGTTGACCACTCCTCTAGAGGGGACCTTCATCTGTGAAAAAGTTTGCAAACTATTATTGCGGGCGAGAAGGGGAGCCCGCAATCTTAATCCTCAGGTTGTTATTACGCACGCGTCACATGTATGTAGCCAGCGTTCGTTTGGACTTCCATTAAGAATGAACGGAATTTGATCACTTGCGTTTGGACCTTCTATCACGTGCAATCTGATGAAGCGTGTTTTGACCATTTGTCGCGTGAAACTTGCGCAAAGCACAGCGTCGGAGTAAAAGCGTTTTAACCTTCGGTCGTTGTCGCCCGCACCCCGTAACCTTGGTTATTACTAGTTGGTAAAAACTAAGGACATAAGCTCATTTCTACTTCCAGCGTCTTACTTTGCAACTACTTTTCTATTCAACACGAATTCACTTCCCTTCTCACCCCCTAACTGGGATGTTGCTTCGCCAACAAGGCAGCACACAAATAAAGGAATGGCACCGACTGATGAAGAGCAAAGGAATATCGTCGGAGATGGGTGAGAAAGCTTCGGGAAAGGGAATCCCCTCACTTTAGGCCCATTTTCCGCGCTATGTTTGACCTCTCTTGAGTCTTGAATCGTTTCAAAACGTGATGAATAGACCTCTTAAGCTTGTATGTTTTGTTTTCTCAATAGAGGTCTCAGGGGAACTGGACCCTTTGTCTTTTCATAAATTATGCCTACATAAGCAAGTGAACAAGACGACATTTGAAAGAAACGGTTCTCTAGAGTATTATCACATGACCTGTATTGGGAAAACAAAACATACAGGGTAAAGAGGTCTATTGCGTGTATCCCTATTATCTGAAGGCCTACAACACGCAGACTTATTTATGGTAATTTCATAAATGAAGTGACATGTTAACTTACAGAGACATAATTGGCGTTAACGTAATCATTTTTTCCTTTGCACAACGTAACCCTTGTGTCGTCATCTGCAGAAACAAACAATGTATTTGCAAAAAAGGAGTTACTCTCTGAACGTTCAGCCTAAATCCGTCCATTTTGACTCTTTCACGCTAAGAGCAGTAAATAAGGGAGACATAATCTGATTTGGGCCTACGGTCATGAAGGTATTTTCGCTTGGCGGAAGCGCGCAACTTTTTGAACAGCAAAGTGTACAAGTTTTTGTTTTAGCGCGGGTAAAAAATTCGACGGGGTAAAAGCTGTTCACACTCGACACTAATAACCCAATAAAAAACAATTAAAATAACCAGATTTGAAAGTGACTCATAAACTTTAAAAATATGCATGTCACTTACACGGTAGAATGTCTCTATATCTGTTTTTCGGGAGGTTTTCTGGTTTTCTGGCTTCTTCCATAGACATACCAGGTTTTTTTCTGTACAACTCCTGTAAAAAGACAAGGCGGTTAGTTATACAAGGTTAAGTCCACTGGTAAAGTTCTGTAAGTGTCCTCACAGCTATGACAATCAAAATTACCTGAAAGTACACAAGCAGATCGCCGCTTTCAAGATTCTGCAAACACAAAAAGGAAACAGGACAATACAGAAATGAGTATTTAAGTGGGAATGATTACCTAGTTATACTCAGTCAGTAAGACTCAAGTCAAGGACGAAGAAACACTACTGAGACAAAAATTCAATTTCACATTAAAAGAAAAAAGGATTTGTTGCCAATATTCAGAAAGCGAACCATGCAATTGTATATAACAACCTTGGAGCCATTTTTTCGGACTGAATGTTTCGTTTTTCTAACGTTAATATGGTAAAATTGATCCAGTGTGCGCGCGAGCTCTCCATTTGGGTAATATGAAAGAAGACATGCGCGCTGCACGCGAAAGGAGTCACCCAGGCGATCACAGCCCCTCGCGCCTTTACCGTTCGCTCGCGGGTTCTCCCGCGGCTCGCTTCCCTCGCCACTTAAAATAGAGAGCTGCCTTGAAGGCTTCATTAATCATGCAAGTTCCAAGTCTGCGAGTCACGAGTTGCGAGTTGCGAGATGCGAGTTACGAGTTGCGAGTTGCTAATTGCTTGTTTGAGATTTGCGAGGTGCAAGTCTCGTACATTAAAAGCGACAGAAGAAATCGTATGTATAAGAAAACAGAAGGTTCACAGCAATCTGTGATTTATCTTTTTCAAGGAAATGAAAAGTATACCAACAAAGACAATACCTCTCGGAGTTGATCCATTGAAACTCGAAGCGCTTCGGTATCCTTTGGTGGAGCCTTTTCTTTCTCTTGCTTGGCGATATTTCGCTCTTGTTCATGTTTGTGTTCAGCAGCAGTAAACTGCTCTGGACTGACTATGTGAACTGGTGAACCATCCCGAGGCGAATGTGTGAAAACTAAGACAAGAATTATAATGGTCAACGGAAATCACAATCGGTCTCATAGCACGAGAGTTAAGATGAATAATCAGTTCGCATTAAAAGGATACAGTCATCACCCGCTTATAAGAACAAGTGGATTAAGAACATGAGGCTAAAAGTTGGCCAATAAAGCAGCATATATACAAGAACCACTTCAGCCTGGTATTTAAAAAAATGTTCTCATACAATAAAGAGAATACGAGAAAAGGAAACCAATACAGTAACTCATATAAAAGGACTATGGTGTGGTGGACCATCTAAACTATAGCGCCATACATGCAGTACATAATAGTACGTAATAATAAATTACAGTAACCCTTTAAAACATTGCATGTTAATTAAAACACTAGTCATGTATAATGTACAGTATTTCTGAAAAAAAAAATCAAGAACATTTTCAGGCTGATTTCTTACTGAGCACCCGGTAAATAAGAACTTGGTCAGTGTGAAACCCGAAATATTAGGTTCTTATGTGCGGGTGTTGACTGTATTTGTTCAAAGCAGAAAGATAACTGACGTATTTACCGTTAGGTCGTATCGTCATGATAAGAAGTCTTCGGTTTGATTTGCTAATGGTTCGTATAAGCTCCACAATCTTAAAACAAAGGCAAAGTGAAGAGTTAAATGAACGACACACCGAGATACACAACAAACCATTTTTTCTTACTTACTTTCCTTACACCTCCCGTGGGTGATACCACCCCCCCCCCGCCCCCGGGGGAACTCTAATAAAAAAGTGACCGGAAAGCTCGTCGTCCGGGTTAGGGGTGTAAATTTTGGATTTTCTGTCTCATTTAGTGTGTAAGACTCATTAGGATCTACAAGCGAAGAAATCTACTTTGAGTATTTTGGTATCTATCATGGGTTAAATGAAGTAAGCCTGAGCCATACACTCAGACTGGTCTCCTTTAGGGGTTTAGTTCAAAATTTCCGATATCACTCCGTCTGTTTTATATGGGAGTCTCCCTTCCCCCGAACCTCCGAATAGCCATCTAAGTACTGTAGTTTTAACGTCCTTAGACTCTTCACAGTCCTCTATTTTTTCGTAAGATCCCCAGGATTGAGCGCTTACAAGTAGGGGCGGCCATCTTGGTTCCATATGTACTGAGGGGGCGGGAGTCAGGATTTATAGCGATCGGGGGAGGGATATATTTTTCTCGCCTCCTCTCCATCCGATTTGACTACACTCATCCAAGATTTCCGCCTGTAACGCAACGCGACGATCTAACGGAAAAATAGGGGATTCTGAACAGTCTATAACGTCCCTTACTTGAGGTTGGGCTGTATCTATAGATTACCCATCAAAATGAGTGTTTAAAAGAAGAAATAAAATAAAAACAGGAGAAAAGAAAAGATACTGTAGTTACTTCGTGATGTGGCAGGTCTTTCACTATCCGCCCATTGATGTGAACAATCTCGTCTCCTTCTTGTAGCTGCGGCATGCACATGTCGGCCTAAACATACAAAATGTACGTTTTCATTAGCGATAAACAGCCCATTTCTGAGGTTGCCCCAAGCCTCTGTTTCAAAGCGAGGCTAAAAGCGAAACCATTGATCTGAAGATGAATTTTTATTCTAATGCAAATAAAACTCATTTTCACAAGCAAGGTTTTGCACTTACCCTCATTTCAAAAGGGAGGCTTTCGGCACTCGGAAATGGCCTACTCAAAGTATGAGCTGCAAAGGCGTGACATAACGACTAACAAACTGCATAGGGACAATGTTTCTGCAAAACCAATTTTTTACATAAGGATAACAGAATTTCTCAAGCCGTTTGCCTGAAAGGTATCCCAGAATTTTGTTAACAAGAAAGGTGTTGATCAATCAGGGTGAATTTCCCTGTAAATTTTGAGCGCAATCGACTCCGGCAAGGTAGCTAGCAAGGATAAACACCATCAAAATTTGGCTTCCAGGTATCATCCGTAACCTTCAAAGTTAATGAATCGTTATATGAATTCATCACATTCAATACAATCACAGCTTGTCACTTGGCCTGTCTTCGTAATGCTGTCTTTAGAAAAGCAAAACTAATATCTCACCGGCATTCCTCGAGCGATCTTCGACACAATTACTGGCAAGTTTATGTCCGCACCTCCCTAAAATAGTCAAAAAAATCACAATTTTTTTACAGCAGCGGCGTAAGTTGTATTAAACCTTCAATCTCCCCTTGAAAAAAAAGGATACATAAGCTATTATTTTCGTACCTGGACATTGAATCCAAACCTTCCTTGATCATCAGGTTCCATTCTACGATAAAATAAAAAACGGCAATTACATTGTAAATATCCGGAAAACTAATACCAAAAACTTCGAAATAGCCCGGTTATATAAAAGCTTGTAAGAAACTGTAATTGAAAAGCTCTTGCTTACGTGAGAAGCGTGAATGGAATTAAACGTTCCCTGGTGACTAAACCGGTAGGTTAATGAAGGAATTTGCGTGTTCAATAATTAATTTAGTACGCCAGAACACGCAAGGACACGAAAAATCTAAAAAGAAGCAACTAGATTGAGAGAGAGACAATCGCACGCAGACCGCCTGCCAACCTTGAAATTCTCTTGATCTCTCTAAGAGTTATTCGAAAGCCTTCAAAGCTTGGTTTAATCTTTCTACTACTGGCGAACAAACCAAATTGCCAAAACAGTACGTTTCCAAGTGAACAAAAATTTTTGAACGACATTTTACGGCGCAAGTAATGATCTTAAAGTTCTTTGTTTTACCTGACAGTCATAAGACCTTCTTGACTGGCAGAACCATTTCTCTAAAGGGAAAATAAAAAGAAAAAAAGATGAGAAAATCAAGACCTCTCAGAGCATCACCAAACGGAAAAAAAGTCGGAAAAGGTGTTTAAAATCTACGGATAAATCACCATTCAACCAATCAATGAAACAATCAATCAATCGATCGATCAATCAATCAATCAATGAGACAATCAATCAGTCGATCAATGGATCAATCAATCAATCCATCCATCAATCAATTATTCAACGATCAATCGATCAATCAATCAATGAAACAATCGATCAATCGTTTAATCAAAATAAGGCGAGATGCGTCAGCAAAGCTATTGTAGCCTCCCTAACAGACGAGGTTTGTCAAGCGTTTTCCTGTGGGGTAGGAAAGCGTAAAGAAGCCCTTAAAACGTCTGGAAGAGAGGCTGCAGCTAAGCCAGTCATGTAACCTTTTGAAAAGAGATTTGCCCAATTGATAAAGCCATCCCTATTCTAAGCAACCGCGGCGAGATGTGAAAATTTCCAGTCATTGCTTCCAATTACGTCGCATACGACTGGCAATACTATTGCAGTGCAACGATTGCAATGTAATATCTGCAAACCCCGACAAATATACCACACTTAAACGTACGTATGTAGCCTAGATGAGCTTCAAGATTATGCAACAATCTTTCCGATAGCCTGTTCAGGGCCTTCAGATAGTAAGGAAAGCGCAAAGAGGGAAACGGGGAAGAGAAAGGGAAAGAGCCCTTCGGTCTATCTCGCTGCACTGAATTTTTTTCCCACTACGTCAAAAAATAAAGTTATCAAGTGTTGTTTCATAATAGATATTAGCAATTAGGTGTAGCAAAGCAAGAAGTGGAGAGAATGGAAGAGTAGAAGCGACATGTTAAGGTACACGTAACCGAAAAGTGAGAGTGGTGTGTGAGAGTGTCACATTTGAAAAAGCTTTCCTCTTCTCCTACATACCCGAGCAGTAAAACCTCTGCTTTCTTGTTCCATATCAGAAGTTACAGAATCGTTTGAAGAAACACTTTTACGCTGAGTTAAAGACAAGGAAGAAGAGGAGACACAAAGATAATAGAACAGACGACAGAGCTGTTAAGAATCACAGTAGTAGCTGTTTGCCTACATGCAAGAGTTAATCTGTAAAAGGTTAAGGTGGGCTTCCAGGAAGAAATGCTTAAGTTTGGTTGCCAGTGTAGGGTAGAATGCTAATTAGTAAATACACCAGCAAGAACATATAGCTACCGCAAAACAACGGCAACACAGGCAACAAAAAAGTGCAACATACTTCGCAAGGTTATTGCTACACGACTTGGAAAACATGCTGCGCGTTTTACCATCCACGTTAAAACCTGTCTTGCAACAAATCACCGAGCCTGTTACAAGTTACGTGAATCCTAAATTCTGATTGGATAAAATTACGCGGAAGTCGCGCCATACACAGGAGTAACATCTTGGGACGGTAAAATGCCAAAAATCTACAGATCTTGTTGCAAAAAGTAAAACTAATCTTTACTTTCTGCAACAACTTTTCGCAACCTGAAACAACCTGATTTGTTGGAAGACAGGTTTGATTCGTAGGTAGTATTGTAAAACGCGAACATCGCTATTCAACTGTTTCTGCTACGTTGAAGACACAAGGCTTGTAACCACGAGGATTTTCTACACTTGAGGAACATTGAAGTAACAGAATCGGTTTTTAGCAAGTTTCTCAGTTTTACTGCATGCAACTAGCTGCGGTATAGCTGAGCAGTAGAGCATCTAGACAAGCAGTTAACCAGAGGGTCATTTTCTCCGGAGTCGCCTGAGTCACCGACTGATACAAAAAGACTTCTCAAGACCAAGTTATTCATGCGCTAGGCATTATAGTGCCTTCTATGCCATATAGTCAGGCATTGCATCCGACTGGTCTGCCTTCCTTACAAGAGCGCAGGGAAGGTGCATGTATAAGGTTCATCTCAAAAATTTCTCCTGGCAACCCTTTGTATGCGCTTATTTTAAGTAGGTCCCAGCCTAGGGAATTCCCATACAATCTTAGAAGGAATACCAACATTGTAACCAAACAAACCAACACCGACCGTTTTGCACAGTTTGTAACGTGCAAATATGCCACCTATTTAGATTCCTAAGCGCCTTACATACTTATTTTGTATTATTTATTACCTTAGATTCCCGTTATTTCTGACCCTACCTGTAATTCAGTTCTCACTGCAAAAGGTAGCAATAAACCAATTTATTTATTATTATTTATTTATTGTACCTGGAGTTCTGGCGTCAGAGCTGGTTTAAGTCGGCTCATTTGGATCTCATCGCCAACTCCAAGACTTTTGCTTCTGACTAACGAGTGATTCATTCTAACAAAATTAAATGAAGAAATCAAAGTTAGTTATAAAAATCACTGAGCCAGGGGAGTTATAAGGGAGCTTATGCAACCAAACAGCACGACGACAAAGGCGGTAAAAATGTCACTTAAAAAAATAGTTTGCGTTCTTTCAAACTTCATCCTGTTTATTGAGCTGCACTCTTGGGGTACTAATGTGTCTTCGGGAGGTTTTGAGAAACGCACGCCAGGTCTGAGACTTTCATTTAAATAGGTTTAAAATCATCACAGTGTATCACAATGAAGAAAAGCGGCACACAACATACACATTTAGATTTAAAAGTATACTACAGCTAACCGGTTACAGTCACCTCGCCACCAAGAAGTTGACTCGACGTCAACCAACTCGCCACCAACTTTGACGGCTGCGTAGCTGGCTGGATTAACGGGCGAGTTCTGTAGTTTTTGAGGGCGGAACTGCGTGAAGATAGGGAGCAAGTCATGTACACTGGTCGTCTGAGATCTCGTCTAATCCTGCGTCTTGGTGGCGAGTCTACTTCTTGGTCATGCTGGCGATTTTGTTGGTGGCGAGGTGACTGGATACCGTACCAAACACAAAGCACAAGCTTACTTGTCGAAATTCGAAGGAACGGAAGATGAATAATTGATTCCAGTTGAGTTAGGAGCTCCGTCATTGAATACTGTATCATCCCTGTCGAATATGTGATCCAAATCAATTCTTCGACGCGAACCTGATCGATAACAAACAAGTAAAAACCCGAGTTTAATAGTTGTGCGCAATGAACGCGGATATAATAAATCATTCAGACGAATCTCGGTAATTTTCCATGTCCTTGCTTTTTAACCTCGCAGGCTGTGGTCACACTATACGGGACAGCTTTCCGTGCCGACACGAAAATCTATCCCTTTATAGTATGAACACCTATCCAAATATGTGGCTCAGTCTCCAGTTTAGAGATCGGCGCAGCACAGCTTCGCTCCGCTACAGAATTCGCGCCGCAATCACCGTTCTTATGCGTGAAGAGTAGCCTTACAGTATACAGCTATTTCGAGAAAGGTTGTGGGTGGTTTTTAGTTCACTGTTTTTCAAAGAAATTTCAAACAATGGCAAGAGACGCCATGGACTCGGACGTATGTTTGCGAGTGCTAAAGGAAAGCAATAAAAGTAGGTTCGACAGCTACAGTGTCAGGAACAGTGTATTGATCATATCCCATATCACCTTTTGGGATTGTCGCGTGCACCGTTTTTCCGACAACCTTTCTAGAACTAGCTGTATACGGTATGGTTTTCGGGCCGGGGCGAAAGCTGTCCGGAATAGTGAGAACATAGCCTTTACTAAGAGACAACGCGTATTGATAATTCTACACGTTAATTGCCCTAAATTCATTTTCAGTTAGTCTCACCATCATCATTTCTTTTGGAGTAGCGTCTACTAAGCGTTCTGCAAAATAATTGGGAAAAAATCAAATTAGAGACTTTTTCTCTAGACATAATGCAGTTTATCTGTATGTAGTCGCTAAATTCAGAAAGACAGCGAGTCTTACAGTTGATTTTTAACATATCGAAAGTGGTTTATTATGACCACTTGACATGATTTTAAGATACCTGACAATTCTAGGTTCAGTTCTAGGCTGTCTTCTTCCCTCTTCCAATGCTTGATATTCTGTCTTACCTCTGAGGAAAAAATATTCGTTTTTAGTGTTTTACAAGAGCTGCAAAATAATTATTCTTTCTGGGAAAGACAAATTTGGGGTTGGATTCGATGAAGGACCCATCATGCACGAATTGTACATAGAAGCCTTAGTTGGTCCGAGATTCGCAAGTAGACTACTAATTGCAGCCGCCATATATTCACAGCAATAATGTTACTTCGTTGGTTTGATAATTTATATACGCTTAAGGTTGATTTTAGTCATTTGCAAAATGATGGTCTTTGGTATTAACACAACACAAAAGATTTCTTTCCCTGCTAGCAGAGGTCTCTCTTTTTGCCTCGTCGTGAGAGACCTCTGCTAGCAGGGAAAAGATTTCTATTTCGGCGGACAAAAAATCCAATCTTAGATGACGTCTCAATAAGGTCAACACCATCTGGTTGTGCAGTATTAGCCGCGGTATTAAATAAGCCCATCAGAACGATAAGATAACAATAACGACAATAATTATGATCATGAACTCATTGATTAAAAGATATACAGTCGAACCTCCATGTGCGACCACCTCTCTCTAAGCAACCACCTCCCATAAGCGACCGCCAATCCAAACACAAAAATTTTCCCCGTGAAAGCCCTACAGCCTACAGCTGTAACCTCTAAGAAACGACCACCTCCTGAATGCGACCGCGACCACTTTTTGGGCCCGACGGTTAAAGATTTTCCATTGTTATTAACCTCTCGTAAGCGACCACTTGACGCATTCTCTGATCTCTGTGTTCGCTTTGTACACTATGCTACTTAGAATAGAATATACGACGACCTTTCAGTGACAAAATGGAACTACACGTCACATATCCTACCTTAGACATTGCATACAATAAATGATCTTCCATAAAGTAGATGTGCCTGGAGCTATTCTCGGAAGAGACCCTCTGTGGTTTGATTCTTGTAAACGACCACCTCCCGTTAGCGACCACTCAGTCTTTGCATTTTGGGTGGTCGCTTAAGGAAGGTTCGACTGTTTTACCAGAAATCATAATGAAAACAATTTAAAGACATTTCCTTACCTGTATCTGTACTTGGAGCCTATTCTCACCAATGAACTCTTGGAATTCGATGGCTTGGGGAAGTGAGTCCTAAATAATGAAACCAAAAAAACCACAGTAAATAAGAATTATAGGACTGTGAAAGTGCGTGGTCAAACAAGTGATCAAACGAAATCACTGATTTGCATGGTCTTCCGCGAGTATGATTTCAATGAGTAGACGACATTCAGTTCTGTCTGTGCCAATTAAAAAACAAATATAATTTCTACGTTCTGTTTAACCCTTCAATTCTCAAGAGCGATTAAGATCAATTTTCTTCTAATAATATCAATACAACATCAAAAGAAACGTTTATGAGAAATAGTAAAATGATAACCTGGAAGAAAATCCTTTGATCTTTAAACAAATTCTCTCAATTAACTTTTCAAGGAAATGTATGATGGTCAGTGTGGAGAATTTGTATGTTGATACTGAGGCTTTAAGGGTTAAAGAAAATCACGGGAGTGAGGTGAAAGAAGTAAATTTAAAAGGTCAAGACAAGAGTGACGGTCACATATCCACAGTGCTGTACTTTGATTTGTAGCCTTCCGCATGGTCAATCTTTCACTGATAGTTGCTCGTTTTTATATCTACACTGCAGCCAAAGCGGCTTGAACTGAATTTGAATGGTGGCACAATAGCGTTTCATCCACGGATTTAACAATTAGAGAGAGAAATCATATTGCCAAATCTTGGTGCAAGATTGAAATGGGGGAACCTTGAAATTTTCAGGGAGAGAAGACCAGACTCAAGCTTAAGACAATCAACTTTAACAGCTCTCCACAAAAAAATTAATTACATAACCATTTGATACAAACCTATAAAAGGTGTGATACTCAACGCATGTTTTCCATAGATTTTTGCATGCTCTATAAGTAGGCATGTGAAAACCTATCACATTATCAGTCCATTCATTCTGCAAAGAAAAGTAAAAAGTGAAAATCAACTGCAAAGGACTGACAGCAAAAGATGATGCCGCAAGACATAGGATCTGTAGAGGACCTGATCAGCGAAGAGTTTACCAAGTCCACAAACCCGATCATATTGAGAGACATAAACACAGTGTCAATAGAACATTAGCAGAGTGGGATTGTAGCTGTTGACAGCTGTATGCAAAGCCATCACAACTGGCATTTTTCATCATCATCATCACCACCATCAACCCCTATCACAGCAACATCGCACTGACAGGACACCTTAATGTAAGGGCCTTTATGCATCAGTTAATGATCACTGTATTTCTCCCCTACCAGGGGACTAACAAGGATTTAGCACAATGATTTAACCCGTTTTTGGACAGTTGAAAAAGAGATTTGAAACAAAGGACTGACTCGACATGAGATAGCCAATTGCAGAGTAGCCGCGGTAGAGAGAGCCAGGTAATGATCCCTTGAAAGGCCGGGCCTCAAGTGCCAGACAGTTGTACGAGACAGTCATCAAGCTTTGGAAACTATGTGCATTAGCAAAATTAGTGGAAGGTGCCAACATATTCTATATATGTATGACAAACATTATTATTTTTACCCAGTCGGGTCTGATCTGCACAAAGAATCGTTTCCTTTTGAAGCAAACTTTGACAACTTTTGACCTGCCAAGAAAACAAATTCAAAAACAAATATATGGCTAAATAATAATAAAAATAATAATTAATAATAATAATAATAACATATTTAACCAGGGTAAACCCGTCAGCTGAAGCTGTTATAAATGGGTGCCCTGGGTGACCAAAAAATTAACAATTAAAGGAAAAAATAACTATAACAGATCAACTATCAGAAAAATGTAAAAACTATGTACAATGTCGATGGAATGTAAAAACTATGTACAATGTTAATGGAAAAGTTCTTGATATAAAACCTCAACTCCCTCACTACTACAGAAAACAGTTTTAAAAAAATACAGAACTTTCTGTCGGGCAATTCAAAATGTTTGCCTGTGTTGAGGAACAGTAAGTAACTGGATTATCCTCTGTGGTGCCAAAAAGATTTCTGTCGAACACAAAATAATCACGAATCTCTGAAATATCTAAAAAAATGTTCAATACATCATGACCAGTCACAAAGGAGATCAAAACACCGCTGCACGTTATCAGACTATGGCTTTCAGGCTAGTTGTACGTACATATGTAAAATAATATTCACATATGATTGGTTGTTTCCCCATGGCACAGTACCACTGCAAAAACCAACAAAAACAATTCTGATAACAAGATGATGGTTTTGTAGTCCAATAGTAAACCCTACATACCATGGAAAGAAGTTTATTTTACATCTGTTGTGGTAAACAGTCAAGCCAAGCGGAGAAATTCCAATGTGAAGATCAAGGCCGTCGTGATCCTAAAAAGAAGGCCCATCAAGGAAGAGAACTTTGGTTTAACAGGTGAGTCATGATGTTTTAATAAAAAAGTAAAAAGCAATCTACATGTTTGTACGATTTATCAAGCTTCAGCAAAAACAGTCAGGAGAGATAACATGCAGCAAGTGATTCAGCTTGTTCAACAAAGAACTCAACCCTTCATTACAGATCCACAACAGCATTCAGCAGCATAAAATACAAGAACTGTATTTAAACCCATCCTCTTTATTGAAACCAAATGTGCACTCACACAAGTTATGGTAGGCACTCAAGTAAATTCTGAAATATGTCTCTAGGCTTCTACTTTTCAAAGGCCTTTTTTAAGGCTCAATCTTCATCTTACAGATGGATTACTGAATCTGTGACAGAATCAACCAATAATGACAGGGATGCTTGGCAAGTTGTGAACTGTAAGCCATTGAAAAGTTAACAACTAATTGTCGGTTATGGAAGGGTACAAGTACCAGATTAACCCTTTACACGCAGAATGCTGTTTTCACATCATCGTAAAGTTCTACGCTTCTGATTATGACTCCGCCTCCAACTCTGTAACTAGTGAAAACCAGCCTAAGGTATAAAATGCAACGAGATAAAAATGCACTCATGTACCTTAGCAAAGTGAAGATCTACTCCATACAAATCCAAGTTTTTTGCAACCTCAAGAAAATTGAACTCTGCATCAGCTGGGCTTTGGCCCCTAAAACAGTAAATTATATTTTTCAGTTTTTTACACACACAGCTGTACCTATGGCCCTAGTGGTACAATAGAGGTACCAAGGCTTGGCCAACATATTCTGTACGCCTTTATTTCAACAGGGAGGGGAGGGGGGGGGGCGAGCTAAAAAAATTAGATTATGGTTGTAGACCTATCAACATTTCAGTTTCAGCAGCATTTAGGATGTTTGTCACAAATGACCTCTAACCGACTCCCAAGAGTCTCCTGTAGCTCAGTGTGATAGAGCATCTAGATTAGTAGCCAGAAAGTCATGCTGATTGCTGGTCACCAGAGATTCCAACCCTGTCAGCAGAAAAAAAGGGAGGTTTGTGGAGCAGCATAACCGTGCCATGAGCACCAAAAGCGCGAGCCACTAGGGGGGTCCAGGGGCATGCTCCCCTGGGAAAAATTTTAAGACATGCCTCTAACAGGGTTGTCATTAAGAGCCGGGGGCCGGGGATTTTCTCCGGCTACTAAGAGAGTGGCCCCCGGCTACTTTTATTGGAAAATAGAAGAAAAATAGAACCAAAAGAAGTCCCTAGCCGTTTGATTCCCCGCCTACTTGTTGTATTTATACCCAGCAACTTGAAATCTTAGTGACAACCCTGCTCTAAGATGCCATTTCCTGCATTTTGAGATCACAGTCAATGGAAAATGGTGGAGTTTTTAACAGGCAGTGGATGCTTCAAGGCCTTTTGGTCCCTATCACATCAGTGCATTACCGCGCCCAAAATTATTGCAGGCTCATGCTCGGATGCCAAAGGTGTAAAATTGGCTGAGAAACCACAGAAAATGGCAAAGAATTGGCTGAAAAAGACTGGTGAAAAAAGGAAAACATTTTCTTTCTTTGGCTGGGAAGAGTTTCAAAAATCGGGAGAATATTACACAATGTAAGTGAAAATGGGAGGCAGAAATATTTGTTGAAAACAGGAGGTATCCAGCCAGAATGGGAGGGTTGGAATCTCTGGGTCATTGTCATTAAGAAATACTGTAAAATTCCAAAAATAGGCCCCTCCATGTATAAGCCCCCCAAACTTGTAACGCAAAAAGCCCTCCGTTAAATTGCCCCTCCAAATATAAGCCCCCTGGGGGCTTGTACTTGGAAATTGCCCTCAAATACAAAGTAAAACAAAGCAAAAACGGTAAATTTCCTTCCAACTATAAGGCTAACCCAATTGATTTTGAAATGCAAATTTCCCTCCATAGATAAGACCCTCCAAATATAAGCCAGTGTTCTCACCAGGCCGCGGCCTTGCGGGATTCCCGCAAGAAAAACTGAAATGGCGCATTAAAACCAAGAAGATGCGCCCGTTAGGGCGCAGGGGCAAGCTACGAGTCAAACGGACTTAAGTAGTTTTAATGGTCAACCTAACACTAAAGCATTCTGTTTGTTTGAATAAATAAAAAACATGATATCAAATGAGTCAAAGTCTAATTTTGTTGCCTTTACTTTCATTGGTTCCACGCACGTCCCACTACATCGTAAACTCCTCCTCCGAATCGTAAACACCTCTTCCGCCATATTGGATCAGATAGGTACTTCATGTAACAGACAATTTGGAGTGCGGGCTCAGGTTCTTCGTACCGCGTGTTTTTTGTAACTTTGTCCCCCTAATGTTCTTACAGGACCCCTATTTCTCAGAAGAGGGGGCCCTGGGACTCCCCAAGGCAAACTCCTGGTGAGAACACTGTAAGCCCCTCGAAAAGGGCCTTTGAAAAATATAGGCCCCAGGGCTTATTTTCAGAATTTTACAGTATTACTCATAAGATCAACCATGTTTGAAAGTTTTACACCAAAATAATTAATAATCATAATCATAAGATAATAGAATGATTTGTAAATTAACAAAATGCAAATTATGTGTCTGATTAATTACCCGTGATGCTTGTGAAATTCAGCTGCTCTTTCTTCAAAATCTTCAGACTAAAACAAGAAAAAACATGATGACATACATGAACATTCAAATAATCTGTGGGTGTCAGTTTATGTCAATCAGGGTCTTGTTACTCTGATCTAGTCTGATTAAGATCAATTGAAAAGTTTGATATTTAGCAACCAAGTCAAAATGTTTAGCAGTAGATATAACCAAGGTACGTAGCAGGCAGAAAAGATCTAAACTTGGTTTTTACTAACTATTATAAAACCTACTGTAAGTGTTAAGAAGGTGGCAAATATTCCACTGGAAGAGATGAAACTGCCAGCTGCAGGATCATTTTGACTGGGCTAATTTGGTCAAATAAACTCCAGGAACTTGTTATTAATAGTTAATTAATTATCACTGCTGTCATCACTGCTCTAAATAGATGTTGTCAACACCTACAAGGGGCACCTGCATCCAACCACTCCACTTTCTTAATTACAACTTCCCATAACCACTTCTTATGTTGATGAGGTGTAAAAGAAACTTTTCACTTGTGTGCCCACTTAAAATACTTGGATGAGTCAACCATACAAACCTGATCAGGAATAAATCTGAACTCAGATACGTAAGAACAATCATGCATAATCCTAGCATCATAATCACCAAGTTCTCCTGTAAAAGTAATGCAATCAAAAACGATATTAAAATTTATTTACAAGTATTTATTATTACTTTGATTTTATTGTTAAATCAAGGTCTGGCAAATTATCTTAGGAGAAAGTTAAGTGTCAGAATTACATTCAGGGCTTTCAGTAAGCACCTACAGCCGATGAAATGCGTCTGCTACTTTGCTCAGAGAAGTCGACTACTTTTTTCTAGAAAGAACTGAGAAGCAACTAGTTTGAATAACATTCACAATATCTGAACGAACTGGTTTTACATTATGCTTTAGTCATGTGAAGGCTATATTTCAGTCAATTTTTCACAAGTTTACATATGCTATGTATGTAATTTAGAAAATTAATGAAATGAGATGCTTAATTTGAATGTCCAGGATACCCTAAAGATTACAAATAAACATTTCACCACAAACATGCCTATAATAACAGAAAATTTAAGTACTCAATAAAATGAATTTACCCTGAAGGACGTAAGAAGCCAGTTCAGCTGCTGTATCATACAAACATGGTAACCTGCAACAACAGAAACCAATCCTGTCATTCAACTGAATTTTTGTGGCCAATCTCAATGACCTGCCCAGTACATAGAAATGAACTGACAATCCCGCCACCCCTTGAGAAGCAAAGTAGTTTGTCACATATACTTTCATCTAAATATAAGGGACCTTAAAATCCGAGGACAGCGACGGCAGAGAAAATGTCGCTGAAAAAGTGAATTCACGTTCTTTCAATCTTCATCGCGATTAGTCCAAGTCACTAACTTTGTCAAATGTAGGCGAACCCTAGCCTCCTAACGTTGAATTCCTAAGAACCATATCCAAGTTCAGAAACAGAGAGCAAATTTTGTTGTCGCTTGTGTACTTCCTCTGTACATCGTGAAATCAGGCATTTTCACGTTGTAGTCGTGCAGTGACGGCAAAGAAATGTACAAAAAAGCGTGATGCACGTGCAAAATAAATTATTGTTGTTTTGCTAATTAAACCTATTGCTTTTGTGGCGTTCCCGTTGCCGTCACTGTCGTCGGATCTTAAGGTCCCTATTATCAGAGGGAGACATACTGTAAAAGGAACCATGATTGTATGAAAAAATGCAGTACATGTAGACCCTGGTCTCATTGTCTACATGTATAAAATGTGTGAACCATTGTTCTGAGGAGGACAAGGATGCATGTGTAAGATCCCAGGATGACAGCAGCAGCTAACCACCTCTTGCAAGCTCATCAGGTGACAGTTTTAAAATTTTCCATTGTTTTCAACCTCAGAACAACCACTAGACACATGGTATGATTTTTATGTTCACTGTAAGTACCACGTTTCTCAGAGTATTTGAAGAACTTTTAGGAAAGACCTCGAACTTCACAATTGGATGCAAAAAATTATTCTCTTCAAAAAAGTACATGAGTAGATCTGACCAGGTTCTGTTTGATTCTTGTAAGCAACTGCTAAATTTTCCTTTATTGGGTGATCACTTTTGGGAGGTTTGACTGGGTTACCTGTGCATATCACTACAGAGGTTTGCATTGTTATTGCTTGAATGCTATTTTCTCAAAAAAATGAGCCCTATTTTTAAGCCTTTTATCTGGGAATAACAAGGAGTAGAAGAAAAACCAAATGCAACTTCAGAAAATTACACTCACCTTCCGGTCAGGAGGTCTCGCTTTATTTGAAGGTAGAATTGATATCTATAAATTCATTACAACAGAAAATGTTTTGTTACTGGAAATAATTCACTCAGTGCATGATGAACATAACTATAGACTGAGGAAATGATCAGAAAGTAGGAAATAATACAAAAAAAATAGGGATGTACAAAACCTGTGCTATTTAGTAAACACATAATATGCATATGTATGTTACCGGTTAAAATAATAAAATCCAGGCTAAAAAATTTTAACATGGATTTGATAAAATTATTATGTCCTAACCCTAATTATTCATGAGTTAGGGCTGCAAAACAAAGAAAATTGAGAATCAGCCTGTAGGTTAAAAATTTTTTACCTGTAACATATACATATACAGTAACACTTTCAAAAACAGAAACATGAGTAATTTGTGGGGGAAAAAAAGATGATCTTAATAATAATTCAAAAACTGCAAGTTATTATTACACCAAAAATTAATTGCAATAGCTCACGTGTAAGCCTACCTGGTGATATCCTCAGATAGTTTAGAAGGATCTGATGCAAAAAATCTCACTCTAAAGTAAAAAATGTATGGTGGACCGCCTAAAAGATAATTCCATGCCAGACATGTATCAGTAACAATAAGGTAGCATTATAATTCAACAAAACTATGATGATATTATTATAATTATTATGGTCTTAAATTATAGTATTAATAATGATAAAAATAATAACAATAATAATAAGAAGAAAGAATATTAAGAAGAATTGTATAGTAGCTAAAAAATAATGATAAAAACATGACTTACGTTTCAGTTGTTTCCTAATTTGCTTATCAGAATTCAGCCATTGCTATTTCGAAGGAATAATAATGACAAAAATAATATTATTATTAATAATTATTATTAAGATGTTTCCGACAGTTGCAATTGTTAGCAAAATTAATTTAAACCAATAAACTTAAAAACAACATAAAAATAATGAACAGTCTAAACTGACCCCACCCCCCCTCTCCCCCCGTCCCCTCTTTCTTCTCTAGCCACAGGTTTTTAGGTGATTCCCTGGTTTTGCACTGCGCATCTCTTACTGCGCACAACAAGATGGCCACCGCAAAAAAGAGCATGTGAAGTAACATTATTAAAATGAAGTTGACTGAAGAGAAACGCTATTGGGATTTTTGCTTGCGGTTGTTTCTTGCCTAGGTGAGACTCAGTGTGTTGGGAATGTGCATAATGTAAGCAGTACGTGTGTTGCTGAGTTCGACTTCCTCACGGAGAACCTCGATAGTGGATGTTTAACTTGTGCTTACTCACTTTGATTTTCATTTAAACGCTTTCTTTATCACATTGTGTCCTAAATGTGATATCTCGATGTAAATTCTGTAAATACGGATTTTTAATACTTTCTCCCCCCTTTCACATACATTCCATTTTGAATCTCGCCCCATTCCTCTCTCAAATATCCGAGAAAATGCATTTGGCGCGCACTCTCTGCAGCTCTACCGCAAAAACGAGTACGGTGACCCCCATTTTTTATTTCATGATTTTAATAAGGATAGTGCTTCCTTTCGATGAGAAAAAAATTGGCACAAATCTATGTCCAGTTTTTTGGCAATTTTACTAAATTGTACGGATCGAGCTATCACGAGTCGAATAGCGCGTGTCCAATTCAATTCTACTTTAGAGCGTAAAATAAAAACAGGAGCATTAAAAGGTATTTTTCTGGTATGTAAGTGGATGAACAATACAATAAAGTCAAATTCTGTGCGATACCACATGCATCATCGAAAAAATCTCTCCTTTTTGTCTAGTTTTGGGCTGAGTGTGGTTTTTGACAAAGGGTCCAAAATAGCCGTATTTCTCAGCATTATGATGTCAAAATGAGCGCGGTGACCCCCACTTTTTATTACTTTTTTATCATTATCTTGACTTGTTACATCAGTGTACCAAGTTTCATCTACAATCTATGTTAGGTTCTTTTACTACGGAATCACCTTAAACAAGTTCTCTCTTTACTGAGGCCAACTACACCCCTTCTTGATAGATAGGTTAGGCAATGGCAGAGGTGCAAGTCAATTTTCGCTGATTTGGCAACTGCCGTTCAGCAGTCGCCAAGTCATAAGGAATTTTATCAATTCTTACTTGTTGTCTTTCTTAAATAGTTATAATAAAATCATTAAATCAGAACTCTTTCATCCTGGCTGTGGAGTGATTAAGCTTTGAGATGTCACGTATTCCTCCAAATTTGATTTTAGATTGAAACTTGGAAATGAATCATACAAATGCTCCAAAACTGTTTTTGGAATATGACTTTTTGAGAAAGCTTGCGAAATCAGTTGCGTTCAGCTAGTGAGAGTGTCAGAAAGGTCGTGAAATGGTGAGACTCATGACAAAGTTGTGTGAGACTACACCAGTCTGTCAATAAAATAATATTTGAGACTTCACTTACCAAGTTATCTGGTGAATCAGCAACATACTGCAGACCAAAGAAATGTCTTTCCAGGAGATCAAGATGCTTGAAAACAGCTTCTAACAATGTTTGACCTCTAGAGGGTTTCTAAAACAGATATAAAATAAACATACAATTTACAGACCTTGCGTCACTTGTCGCAAAACAAGTTTGCCTTGGGTTGGTAAAATGCACAACGTACAAATCTGTTGCATAAAGTAAAACCATTCTCTACTTTCTACAACAACATTTCACAACAACCTGATTTGTTGATTTGTGGCTGGTAAAATCCACAACATTGCTATTCTTTGGAAGGATGAATAAAATAATATGAATTTCATAAATTTGAAATGTGGCATGAAGAAATAGATGCAGAGAAGATCATCACAGTTAAAAACACAACTTATGCAATTGCAATAAAAAAGTCTGAACTTTTCAGGCTTGCCAAGGTAATTCCTGACCTCTGCAATACTAGCCTGCATCACCGATGTAATTACATGTAAGTTTACCATGGGCAGTAATATCTGTGAAGTAGCGCCGATATCCCTGTTCTGGCCCCCCAATGAACTCAATGAATTATAAAATATTGGAACTGCATTCAGGGCTCAAAGTTAGCGACTAACTGGTCGCATATGTGACTGAATTTTTGGCTGTGCGCCTAAACATTCATGTGTAATCACACCTGTGCGCGTAAAACCCAAAGCACAGTGCGACTGACTGACTTCCGACTATACTTACGAACTCGAACTAGAAAGACAGTGTATGTTTAATTGGTCTTTTCTCCCAATGGATTCTACAAACTCGAATGTTCTTATTCATTTCGATGTTTTACTCCATCCCAGACTCTTCTGTTTTGTAATAAACACCGCTGACACATGCAAATATATGCTACGAACGAAACACGTACTTTTTGCGCAACGGACGATCATGTCAAACGCTAAGTTTTAACGTCAATCAAAACAGAAACAGTTCAGATTAAGAGCCTTTTTTTCCAGGTAAGAAAGTTTTTTAAGTCGTAATTTCCAGTTACATGTAAGTCATTGCACATTTAACAGATCCATTAAAGAAAAATTTTCATTCGCGTTCGACACACTCATTGTTACATCAGTTTTGAATTGTTCTTCAAGTGTATGTTTTCTTTAGTCACAACTGTGCTGTCAAAAAGAGAAATAAGTAGCAAATTGGCTTTATCAATCACAGGACTGAAGTAAAAGTTACAAATAAATGAGGCACTATCAAGCTTTTTACTTTTTCTTTCGGAATAGATGCTCCCAACATTATAAGCTGTGCTCCTAAAATTTTCAGCTGTGCACCTAAAAATTTACACCTCATTTCGAATTTCCTTTCATCTGATTTGCAAATGGACCACGGCTTTTTAACAGGCCAATCATGGTGCGTGCACAAAACCTACCACATAGCTGCAGGGTTTTCAACAAGAGCACGGTGGCAAGCAAAATTCGCTGGCTATTTCACATCAACTTACCACCTACTTTTCTTTGGAAATTAACCCAGTTTTTACAAATGAAATGAGAAACGTTTCCCACAGAACACAAACTTTGGTGGAAAAACCAAAGTCTTGCCTAAATTATGAGTTGCTTTCATTGTTCAATCATCAAAGCCATACACTCTAATGAGCAGCCTTGCACCCAAAACCACGGGGTCTGGGTGCCAAAGCAGCCAAACTTGTGCGCAAATTTCCATGCGTTCTTTGGTGCTAGTTTTTTCTTTCTCCCCCTACTCCAAAGCTTTTGCCACCTACTTAAAACCTTGTTGAAAACCCTGCATCTAGGGACCCAGTCAAGGATTTTGGAGGTGTTTCGCAGACGGCCTCAACCAGAGTTTAGTTTTTGTCTGTGATGCAGGCTATGTGATACCTTTGCAGTGCTCTAACCTTTGAGCTGGCAAGCCAACTGGCAGATGGTCATCAAGGCGGTTGCAAGTTTGCAATGTTGCTAAACAAGTTGCACAGTTTTATTGTCTGTTTTACCATAACTTCAACCAGCTTATAACCATTTTCCTTTTGCTACAAATGTCTCTTCAGATTAAATGCTCACCTTTTACTGAATTACGGCATGCAAACTGTTTAGATTGCTAAAAAAATAAAACTTTTCCAGCCATCGCTGATGACACAAATCAATCTTCCAAATTCATTCTAGATGGCCAGAGTTAAAGTTTTAAGAATGCCATTCAAGAAAATATGTAAAATACATTTTACTTGTAACTCTAAACTGTAAACACTTTTACTACAATAAAGTCAAAAATAATATTCTAGGAGAAAAGAATCCAGGGTGTTCATTAGGCATTGGAGAACAGAGAATTCTCTGTTAACTAGCTATGAAAAATTATCCAGCAAATATTCAGTAGCCTATGACTATCTTTCATTCAGACATGGAGCCTATTTCAAAATATTCTCCTGTAACGTTACACCTTTCTCCTGCTATTAGAATTCTTAGTGAAGACCCTGGGAACCACATCCTGTAAGTATCGTATCCATGCCTCAAAAAATTATCAGATCATCATGTGCAATGAAACCTACAAGCATTTCCGAATTGTTGGGGCGCTTAGTAATGCAAACACATGCTGCTTACAAATTGTTGCAATTCAGAGTAGTGTTGACTTCCTTTCACCAATAATAAACAGGAAAACTCTGTTAGCAGGGAAAGTTACATTGTGTATGTATGAGGAACAAATAAATGTGCAGAGCAAAAATAAAGCTGACAGGCAATTGATTTAATGCATTAATTAACCTTTAAATAGAACAATTTTAATCAGTATTATAATTTTATTAAATAATAATATCCATAACTGATTAGTAAGTAAAAAATTGGCCCAATATTGATCATTGAGCTATATTTTTAACACAGAAACAAAGATGGTGAGTTAAGTAGTGCACATAGAACAAAGTAAAATTTATTTACAAGTACAGTTTAGTTGACGTGAAAATAAAATGACATATGGTTAAAAGACAAACCCAGAATTATGCTGATAAAATTATATTGCAAAAATTGATTTGACTTGCTCATTTAATAACGAGATAATGCAACGTTAACAAAAAATATAAATTTAATGATCAAGAATGAATTTCGCATAGTCATCCTCAAAATAAAATTACCTATGTGCAATGTTACTTGTCAATATGAAAGAAAATTCTCACTTGATATTTTAAATATTTATGATCTGACAAATTTGTTTCAAATTAACATACATCTTCTAATTCAAGAAATGATGTAACTACAAATAAAAGAATCACATGCATGTAGAAAAACTTCCCTTATTATGTCTCATTTAAAACCAAATTTTCTTTGAATGAGTATAACATCCCACAGTAATCAAAGGATAAATCGGCCATGTTACGTCAAACATTTCTAAAAAAAAGGCACATTCAAATACAGGGTTAAAACGTCTGATGCAAAAAAATACGTTATTATTTATGATAGCCGTCTTAAGAAGATTAACTTGGAAAGCAATTTAGCCGATTGACGACCCAGGTTTACGCAATGTTTTTAAAGGAAGAAATTCAGCTGAGGTACAAAAATGCCAAACCTTTCGTGACACGTTAAACGTTGCTGTCAAAAAATGCCAGCTTTTCCTTCACCTTCACTGTTCAAGATTTTTGAAAAGATAAGTCAGCCAATATCGATCGAGTCTAGAGAGATCTAAGCCCTAGTATTAAAAGCCAGTAATTTGAATTTAAGTTATTTTCAAGAGATGTGGAACTGTTTGCTAATTTTTGTGTTTGTTTCTTTAAACAAAGAGAAATTGGTTGTTTTTACTTCAAATCTCATGGGATGATGTTTGACCTTACTAGGACTGCATGCATTTCTGCTCATAGAAAATTAAGTCATAGGTACAACTACACAGATGTTAAAGATGACCAGGTACAAAAAGGCGAAGCCATGAAATAAGAAATTCATAAAACTTTAGGAAATAATGGAATGCAATTTAAAAATGTCACTTTGTGATTCGTGCTCATCAATCGTTCATTTTTCATCACGCTGGGTTTAATTTTCAATTCCAAAATGCAAACGCTGATGTCCTTCTAAATAAATAACGAATAATGTGAACGTTGATTGAGTTAATCTTCACTGTAAAATTGTGCAAGAGATATATATAAAAAGGAACCTCTCCCCAAATGACAGCCTCTTCACTTTATGCAAGTAAAACGTACTAGCGATCAAGAACGGTTTCCACGAGAGTAACAGATCTTTCACATGCTAAACATTTCCTAGCGGGGCTTATGTTGTTGTAAAAGGTTTTCAAAGCACCCGCCTATAATCTGACAGAGTTTTACTACCAAACATGTAGCTACCTAACAGAAATCTCATTTACTTACGTCAATATCGATGACAAATTCGGAATCATCCAATAATTCCACAACACAGCGTATCTGGTTCGGTGTAGTTTTCCCGGACCGTGCTAATTCGGAACCTCGCACACTGTAGATCCCACTCTGCGAACCCAGAGATGTCGGTCGAAATTTCCTCGACATTGAGGCGTGCAATGAACCCAAAACCTCTCACATACGTCACGGTGGTTTGAACTTTAAAATAATGGCAGTCGATCCTAAAACTATAAACAAACTCACTGGTATTTTCGTGGTAGAAATTTGTATGTGATTAGTAAACTGACCCAAATCACGTGGTACCAGTGGTACTGAAAAAGTGATGATTGCAGGCTCGCGTGTGGAGCACTGATTTTCAAAATGGCGGCGATCGCTCGAGATTCCTCAAGATTTGCCGGCATAAAAACCGTTAGTGAAAAGTTTTCACAGCCTGAAGTAGATGCCGAAGGAAGAGTTAGAAAGGTTTGTGATCAGTTTCTCAAGTTAAAAGATCCAGAAGGCTTCCTTTAGGTATGGGGTTCCTTGGTTTTTTCCCTTCCTGTGCATAAAAGGAGTTGGTTGATTTGCGTTGGAAGGCATTTCCGGTTGATAAGAAAGAAGCTCGCCGACTTGTAAACTTAAAAACTTCCGCTTTAGTCCTAGCAAATGGACGCTACAATAAATTTTATTGTATTTTACAAGTTTTTCTTGCGATGTCAGATTTCTACGTGAGCGGAATAGACCTCTTTAGCTTGTATGTTTTGTTTTCCCCTTACAGGTCATGTGATAATACTCTAGAAATTAAGTGAACTGTTTTTTTCAATTTCGTGTTATTCACGTGCATATGTTATTATGTACGAATGATTTATAAAAAGACAAAGGGTCACGTTCCCCTGGGACCTCTGTTGTGAAAACAAAACATAAAAGCTTAAGTTTTTAACAGGGGTGTTGCTCTTAATCTCATAGATGCATGTCAGTCTTGATTATTTGTTATTAATTTTTCTTTATTTCCCCTTTTGTCTGCTAACAACAGTAAACGATGATATTAAAAAGCTTAATCTTAAGCCTCAAAACACCCCCATTCTAGTTGCTTTTCACAAAGGAAACTGGCATACGCTCAGGCCTGATGGGGACCTGGCTTAAATGCAGATTTTACTGTATCTCAAGTCATAAGCATCAAATAGTCCACTGAGAAGTGAAGTCCTCAGAATTCAAGATCATCATGAATACTTATTCATACATTTATTTACTTTAAGGGTTTGTTATTTGCTCTGGCCACGACATTTACCAAACAGATTTTAAAACTCATGGCAACAATTTCATACTAATCGAATATTTCACTCAAATCGCTCAAACAGCGATGTGATTTGACCTCTCCTGGGAATATGTTTACTGCTTTTTTGTTACATATTAAAAAACTGAACTTTATTTTACATTGCTGATGAAGTTTGAGCCATTCAAATAAAATATGTGATTAGTCTGAAATTGGTGCTCTGAGTTTTGGAAACTTTGCAAAACTAATTTTGTGATAAAGTACGATAATGTATGCATTTAATGATTTAAGTGATGCAAAAGTGAAAAATGCTGACCATAGAGTCAGTGAGCTATTATAATGAAGAGAAGCACTACAGGGTGCAAAGAAAGTCGGTTTTACAGCCTGCCGTTCGGGCAAGCTGTAGCTAGTATGTACTAGCCCGCAAGTCATTTTAACTTGCCCCCAAACCCTTTTTGATTAGCAGGATTGATTACAATCCTTTGTAATTTGAATTTCCCAAAAAAAACAGCACTTGCCCGTTAGGCAAGTTAAGAACAAAAATCACTAGCCCGATAGCAAAATCCACTAGCCCCAGGCTATCGGACACGACTTTCTTTGCACGCTGCACTATTGTTCTTTACACCAGAGACGTAGCTAAGGAAAAGCTAAGCATGCTTCTTTATTTGTCGAGCCAGCTTCTTGTACTCAATTGCACTTACATGTACAAAAATCATTGTCTTCCAGAGTTTTTTGGGGGGGTCAACCCAAAATAATTTAGAAGGGTTTGTATGGAGTTTTCTAAGCATAACTGGGCATGATCTCAGAGACAATTTGTCCCGAAATGGTCATTTTTGGCAAGTAGGCCTCTTGGACATTGTTCTTTCAGAATATCCTGACAAATCCCATGATTTCAGAAATTTCATTTTCATGACGTCACACTTTAGTACTCTATTAAACCAGGGATAGACCAAGGTGGCAGTTGTGGAGAGGGTCAACAGTAATTTTGATTTGATTTGCTTTTATGGTTTGCTTTTTATTAATTAAGGTGGAGACTAGAGAGGATGAGGAGCAGAATGTAAAAATGGCTGAAACAATTGAGCTTCTGTTGGCAGCAGGTTATTTCAGAGCAAGAATCAAAGGATTATCTCCATTTGATAAGGTACACCTGTATTTGATTGATTTGTAAGATATGGGAACCTGTACTTTTTATTCTGAAAGTGGGAATCCCCTTCTACACAATGTAACAGTAAAAGTAATCATGTACATGCACTCACACATTTTCTATTTGAGAAAAAAAACATCATGCTTTCTAGTTTACATAGTGGACTACAATTCAAAGAAACATGAATATAGACTTGATTCTCTAAAATTGATATTCAGTGCCTGTTATTGATAGTGTCTTTTTTGTCCAAAAAAAACTTTTACTCATTACAGTGTAGGAAATAATACATGAGCTTGTACATGTAAGCACTAATGATGGGTGCAGATTTCTCTATGTGTGAATGGTTAGTGTTCTTTCCTCATGAAATATTACAAGGTCTCTCAATAATCCCTGTGAGTGATAAAATAATATTATAATCCTGGTTTTTCAAAAAGTTGAAGTGCAAAACTTGAGACTTGAGTTGAGACATTCATGCTTTTACAGATTATGTTCAATGTCCTTTAATATCTTAAAGGTTGTTGGTGGTATGACTTGGTGTATTTCAGTCTGTGACTTTGACATTGATGTTGATTTACTTTTCCAAGAAAATTCAACCATTGGTCAGAAAATGTGAGTACCCCAAAAGCCATTATACCAATAATTAACTTTATCACTGAGTTGACACTCTCCAATGTAGGAAGAAACCAGGTCTTCTCAGCTTACATGCCTCCTATTCACGCATAGTGAGCGTAAAATCTCAATATACTCCCTTTGCTTAAAAATTCACAACTTTGCACTAAAAAGTTCCCAAGGATTCAAAGTAATGTATGTTAATGTATGTCAAAATTAAATTCAGGTTAAAATTTTTAACCTAATTTGATTCTCAATTTCCTTTGTCTCGTAGCCCTAATTCATAAATAATTAGGGCTAGGAGACAAAGGGAAGAGAGAATCAACCTATTTAAAAAAATTTTAAGCTGATTTAATTTTGACATGTACAGTAAGAAAAAAAGTAGGCATTGAAACTTGCTATGCTAGAATGCTTATAAGGTCGAAGATGAGATTAAAATTTTCTGAGACCCACACACTGATGTATATGCTAGCCTCTGCTCAGTCAATATATTTAGTTATCATTATTATTTTTAATTATTTTCCAGTGCTCTGACAGAAAAGATTGTTGCAGTTCTTCCACGCATGAAATGTCCTCATCGTCTGGAGCCTCACCAAATTCAAGGCTTGGATTTCATCAATATTTTCCCTGTCATCCAGGTAACAAAATTGATATTGCCCTTCGAATGGGCAATCTTATCCTGCTTCTTGCATGGGACTATTAATTTAGAAATTCTCTCTATCACATAATCTTTACTACAGCCTGTTATCTTTAAGAAAAAAAATATGATAAGCATTTTTATATTTGCTCAAATTTAGATTTACATTATTATTGTTTGTTCCTTGATTCAGTTTAAGTAACATTTAACCCTTTAAGTCCCAATGGTGATCAAGATCAATTTTCTCCCAACAATATCCATGTGTTGCCAAGAGGAATGGTTATGAGAGTTAATGAAATGATCACTAAAGAGAAAATGCTTTGATCTGTTATCAAACTCTCTCAACTAATTCTTTAAAGAAATGTATGAAGATCAGTATGGAGAATTTGTATGTGGATATTGGGGCTTAAAGGGATAACCACAAGCAAAAACAAGAGCAGGCAGTTTTAGCCAAAACAATAGAAAAGCTTAGAAGTCGCAATGTGTTAGAATCCGAGATTAAGTTGTACTTTGTTTGATTTCTGCCACATGGAATTTCATACAGAGTACAAAAGTTAATCTTCACATCAAAAAATTTTAAGGGACACTGAGTACTCATTGTTACAAGAAATTTCACATATGGGGATGGTCAATATAATCGGAGCTTTAAAAAATTACCACATCCCTACACATTCCCTAAGAACAACCCCCCCTCTTGGGGGGGGGGGGTACTTTAGGAATTTCTGGATGGGGATGTGCCACTGGAACCCTGGAACCCTTGACCTATACCAGAGCTAGTTCAGCTGAATTTTGCTACCCTATACTAGAGTAAACTCTCCAAATCCCCCTATGCTAGAGTAGCTGTTTTCCAGAAACCACTGAGGTCACTAGCACAGTCTAGCCAAAACAAAACCTTATACCACAATCCCTAGTCTAGATAAAATCTTCAACCAACTGATCAGTTTCTGACAAATGATAACCTATTCTAGACCCAAACACTCTGATTTATATACCCTATCCTAGAGTAAACTGCTTGAAAACCATTGAAAACCATACCCTTCACAGCAGCACATACCTATATAGCCCATTATGGCAGTACCCCCCCCCCACAGCAACAACCCCACATGTGATTAGTGAAGGGGAAGGCGGGCCATGAGCATTGCAGATGACGTGACTCATGTTTTACCCCACCTAAATTATATGATTTTGCCACATTTAAGTCTCTTTTGGCATACCAACAATTGACTTTTTGTAATTATGCTAGTAATATTTTCAGTATGTGTTAAACAACAGGCTTGTAGCCAAGCTAAGTTAAGTTAAGTTAATTCACATTCAGAAAAAAAGAAAGAAAACAGGAGACGTTTACACCTTATATAACTTTAGCAACAGGGAATTGGTAGCTACTCATGCAAGACATTTTTGTCAAGGGTTTTTTTTTTTTCTTTTCTTTTACTCCTCAGTGGTTGGTGAAAAAAGCAATTGAAAGAAAGGAAGAAATGGGTGATTATATTCGAGAGTTTTCAGTGTCACAATTCAGCAAGTACCACACCACTCCACAGGTGAATGCGAAATGTTTGTCATGAGTACTGAATAGCTGGAAGCCTCACTTGTGAGAGTTGCGGAGTGAGAACAATAGGGCTTTATGGGTTTGCGCTGGTAGCACTCCTTGCCAAAATTGTGCCCAAACTCACACAAGTGAGCCTGCTTGAAAGTTAGGAGCAAGCTCTCCTTGAGTTTTCCCAAGCAGACGTGGTAAGGGGTTGCACTCAAGAGTGGCCAGCACTGCCGCCCAATTTCCTCGTGGCTGACCTTGCTTGATGCTCATGTGAGACCCTTTGACCCCTTGTACTCTGGAAGCCAAGAGGAGAGCTTGCTTGCATGCATTGTGGAATGCAAAGTGTTCTTCATTTCTGTTAAGATTAAAGTACAAGTTTTCTAATTCTCCACAAATTGCAGCATTTCCTTTACATCCCTTTCCGTTTTGTGAACAATGCAGTCAAATTATTCATTTTTTATGGGATGTTACTAAAACAGAGAATGAGAAAAGGAAAAATTGGAACCAAAACCAGTAACTTTCAATTCTCTACTTTGTTTGCCATAAGTTGAACAAAGCAAAAAAATCTAATTATTTAAACTCTCATGGCAAGGAAGCCCAAGAGAAGCCACCGGGCTGCTTTCATCCCATTTTTCATTAATTACCCATTTCCCATGCTCTTTCCATGTTCCCCGTGTTGGTGACATTTTTTTTGTTTTTGTAAGTCTTGTCTTTTTCCCTTGAGGTTATTGTTCAATTGTGATATGTAATTTTAGGATGATGAATTTAATGTCAGGAAACCCAAGTGCATCAGTGGAATGGAAGGTCTTAAGGTTGGCGTTATTTAGTTTTTTTGAGCCAGAAAACAATTTCTGGTATTCTTGACCATGAGGACTGGTTGCCCATTTTAAAGATAGGTCTGCTTCTTTTATTAGTAAGTTTAGAGTTTTTACAATCTGCACTTTTTTTGGCCTCGTGGTTTTGTTATCGCAATGAAAGATACCTGTTCATAACTTTCCAAAACGCTATTAGCCTGCAGAACAGGCGTCATTTTGCAGGTGTAGGTTTGCGAGGGCAAGCGGGAGGCAGGCGTGGATAGTGAGACACCCTCCCCCTTCACACATACGTCTCAGAAACTCCAAACGCGCCTCGCACTTGCCTTCGCTAGCCTGAAAATGCTAAAAATAACTCTTGTTCTGTAAGCTAGAACCACCTTATTAAAGTTGGTAAAATTCTTTTACACCTCTTTAAGCCTGATCGAAAATTTACTTGTTTTAGGAAACATATAAACCACGTAGAAGATATCGCAAACCAGAGTCCATGTCTCAAACTGATGAAGAGACGAAGGTCCGTACAACTCTTTTAGAATACGGTTGGTAAGTGTAACAATTTCTTTTCCATTCTTATTTTGGAGTATCTCGTAGCATTGTGTCAAATCAAGCCATATCCGCGTAAGCCTGGTTTTCAGTGGCCTTTTGGGAATTATGCGTGAGCGAGTGAAACTGGTGAGTGTTGTGTCGCTCGAAAGTCATCTCGCCCGAAACCAGAGTCATGTCGCTCGAAATTTTTAGTTAAGTCGTCCAAAATTTTATTATAATAAAGAGTGTGTGTGATATATCTCGTTCTTTAAGCGATAATGAGACAAAAAAAGCGAGATAATGGTGTAATTAAGTCTCGTTCTTTAACCAATGATGTTATGGAGAGACCGAACAAGCGGAATGAATGTGATCATATTCCGTTCTTTATGCGATGAAGAGACGAAACAAGCGAGATGAATGTGTAACATATCTCGTTCTTTTAGCCTTAATGAAATGAAACAAGCACGTCAAATGAGTAATATATCTTGTTCTTAAAGATTTCGTGACGCGAAACAAGTGCTATAAGATGTTAGGATGTTGCTGAGCGTGATAAAATTTCGCGCGACTTGACTAAAAATGTCGGGCGACATAACATCGGGCAAGATGACTTTCGGGCGACTTGACTTTAAACCATTGCACCATGGGACTGTTTGTCCTGGACGGAGTTTGACCCAGTTTCCTTTACAATCTCTTAATGGCCAATCAAAGAAGAGGTGACGTCCCCAAAACAGTCCCATAGTTCAGTTCGACACAACATCGACCCAGTCTAGCTCACACGTAACCCCAGACCGGCCTATAGAGACCTTTAGGCCTTTTGGCGTCTTCTTAAAAAAAAAACACCCCGGAAAGCTTCATTGTACCTCTTATTAACCAGAAAAGTTAGCACGGTTATTTTTATTGGATGAGATTAAGGGTGCGTTCGATTGGGAAATCCGGATTTAGATTTTCAAAATCTAAATCCGGTTTTCCCAATCGAACGCGAAATCCGAAAACGGATTTCACCTCCGAGAAATTCGTCCTCAGGGTGGATTTCAATTAAGAAATCCAAATCCGGATTTCATGGATTTCCTTTTTACCGTTTGATTGGGAAATGCGAAAAAGGATTTGCAAAACTATTCTCGTGAACAGTGGTCTTCTTTTTGCTAAGTATGCGTGCGCGTGCAAGACCGCTGTTCTTAAGGACAGTTTTTCAAATCCTTTTTCGGATTTTCCAATCGAACGGTAAAAATGAAAATCCAAAAACAGATATCTCAGCGTTGAAATCCGTTTTCGCATTTCGCGTTCGATTGCAATCCGAAATCCGGATTTTCAAAATCTAAATCCAGATTTCCCAATCGAACGCACCCTAAGCCTTCTCCAGTTCGCAAAATTATGAAACTTTTAACATTTGATAACTTGTTTCCGCCACTATGAAGGAATACTCGCCAAAACCAGTAATAGAATGACGACGGATATCACGTTTTCCCGCCAAAATGACGCTGTTTCACGCGCGTGCACTGCTTAAATCTCGCTCTTGTAGTCGTCCTTGCCTGAGAATCTAAAGGTCTCTGTTTTGTTTATAGTCGCTATGTTGCTGAAAGCAAAGTTCGAAGATCGCAATCCTTGGTTGCGGTTGATATTATTCTCTAGTCATCTCATGCCTACCCGCCAAACATATTTCCCCTGTTGATGAATTCTTTGAATGTCAAGGTAACCGTGAGTATTGTTTTCACTCCTCAGGCAATATGGATTTAGTAAGGAACAGAGAGATAAGGTATGATACACCGTTATAGGCATTTCGCACCAATCAAGCTTCTAGTGGCGAGCGAAGATTGAACGCCGCGAGTGTATGACTTGCGAGCGACTTTTGGAGAGATCTTCCTCAACTAGGGAGCTTGCTCGCAGATTATTTCTTAGGCCAATTTTCGCCTCTTATACCAACAATACTGAGCCAAACTACTGCTGGTTAAGGGACATCTTATTCGAATTTTTGCACTTAAGGCTCAAATCCACCATAATAGCGACTTTAAGATACACCGTTTCGGCCTACGCGTACGGGTAAGCGAACTTGTTAACCCCGTAGTTTAATAAAAGGCAACCGTTATTTTCCAGATGTGATAATGGCGTAACCATTCCATCTGGTAGCCTACCCGTTTCTGCCGGAGTAAGAGGCAATCTACCCCTATTTACGGTTAATTTAACCGTATCCGTGCACGGAAACGGTGTGTCTTACGGTCTCTAATAAAGAGAGGAGAGGTGTGACGTCACGTCAGGTTACCATGGTGGCACTATCTCTGGATCTCAACAATCCTTCTTGACACAGACGGCAATTTACATTGTCAAACGATAGAAGAAAAGTATGGGCTAACCGTTTTGTTCCTGAGTGCAATCATGCACAAGAAAGTCATACATGTGAATTTTTTCTCCTTTTTTTCCCATATTTGCATGACCACGGTTCGTTGAGATCCAGAAATTTTGGTACCATGGTAACGCGAGGTAGCGACTTCGCCTCTCTTATTCCCACCCACAAATATCTAAGGAACTAATCGAGGCGGAGGGAGGAAAGAACATATTTTGCAACACTTGGTTTGAGAAGGATGGACTACACAATAATGGCGACAAATACGATAAGAAGAGAGACTAACATGTACGATAAAATTAAAAGTATTTGTTTTCATAAACTGAGGAGGATTGAGGATTAAGTTGTGGATAGGTATCTCAGTGAGATAAAAACTGTTTTAAGTTCTCAGGAAGTAATCCACTTCTGATCTTTATTTTTAAGTTATTTTTTTAAATGCTCTATTAGGAAAAGGAACAGGCGGAAAAAAAGAAATCCGCTGCTGCTGCGGTTCCTGGAGGAATGAGAACTGCATCATCTGGAGAAGAAGATGAATATTTAGTGGAGCAGGTAGCACTTTGTAAGATAAAACAAGCACCGTTGCAAAATAACGGCGCTTCTTAAATTACCGTAAACTGCCGTTTACAAGTCCTGGACTAATACATCTTCGCAATGGGGTTTTAGGAGGGTTATAAACGGAAGGGCTTATGTCCAAGGGGGATTATAACCAGAATAGAAAAAGCGCTTCAAAACAAGCTAAAATAGTGCTGTTCAAAATACGTTTTGCATCTACTGGTTTTTAATTAAGGTCAAAACGTGTAAACGTCATAATAAATAATTCTTTTCAATGCATTTCGAAGGAGCTCATATTCGGATGTATTTTTTGTTGTTTAGAAGTAGATTGGCCTACAACGTGAAGGTCTTATACGTGAAGGGCTTATATGTAAAAGCGACTGTTTATGGTATACCCTCGCTGGATTTAATTTGTAAGTGCAGGTGTGGGTGCGAGTGTGAGTGAAGGTGCCGGTTAGGATTTACAGGGCTAGGGTTTGATTTACGTGGCACTAGTTTAGTCACACCTGCACACCTACAATAAGCAAGGGGAGGCACTTACACCGAACAAAATGTTTGCACAGGCCAGTTAAACGGAGAAAGAGAAACGTTTATGTTTCTTACCACACAGGAAAAACGCACTTTAATTGACTGTCAATGTATTTAACACGAAAGTAGCAATTGAGGACACTATTTTTACGTATTGGATACGAGATCGCCGTCATACTTGGTCATCCGAACCGCGCGAAGGTCTAGCCGTTTGCAGGACGAGGACAGTACCTTCACTTCCCAGTTATTTTAAGACCCTGAGTATTGGTCCGGCCCCGGGAAACGATCCCGCTCTGCAATCAAGCACTTAACCAACTGAGCTAATCCTGCCGCGATGGCAGTACGGCATTAGGCTACGATTAAAGTCATTCGCGTTTTTTAAGCCGGCTTACTTTTCTTTCATTTTTCTTTTTAAATTAACAATTGCCCTTTGAACTTTCTTTATTGCAGAAACGTCTAAAATCATTGCTGAAAGGAATGTCTGTTATGGAGGGAAAGGAGGTGAGCTAGAATGCTGAGTAAAAATGGTCAGAAAAATTTGCATTCAAAGGAAAATGTTTCATGCAATTAACCAAACTCCACTGAGAACTGGCCACCAAGATGAGTAAAATATGAAAATAACGGCTGAAAACGGCAAAAACTAACACTGAGGCACAGATGGACTAGTTAAAGAAAAAGCTGATTACAATAGGTCAATTATGAGTTGCCTAGAGCCATTTTTAAAACTAGTATGAGTTCGAAGTCTTTGATGTAAAAAAAAAATTCTTTTCTGCGGTAATTAAAACTAATTATTATTCAATTAAAAAATATTTCTCCGTTTCTGAGCGGTTTTAATCTCCTGGCTATATATCTAACGGTGTTGTCCGTTAAATTTTTTTAAGGGTGCCCTTTCATCAAGTACTGTGGGATCCATTGTAGGACTTCAGTCAGAGGAGATCTCTCAGATTGCTTCTGAGTATGCTGAAAGGGTAAGTGTCTGCTGTTGTTCAAAGCAAGGATAGCACGAGATTTGAATTCAGATCTTAACGTGCTTACAAAGCAAATTCAGCTTAGTGTATTCTTTTTGCCTATAATTTCATTTGCGGGTTGCTTTAAGATGACTGGCTAAAATTAACAAAGAAAATACTTCTGAAAGACAGAAACAAAAACGTGGATTAAAATTAAAACCTGGTTTAGCGATAATCGCCTTTTGTACCACTGTAAAGAATAGATCAGGGAGTAAAAGAAGTAGGTGCATTTCAGACCAGGTTTCTCTTATCTCTTTACTTCTCACTGTTAGGCCTAGTTCAGACGCCGCACTTTTCATGTGCCGAACCAAACTGAATAAGTTCGACTTTGGAGCGACACTGGCGCGACATCTGATTCAGACGGCGTACCGTGTGTCGAACCTAAGTTAAGTTCGACAAAAGTTCGACAGACTCTGTCGAACTTAACGCTTTTGCCGCACCAAACTAAAACTACCGTACCAAATTGATTCAGACGCCGCTCTTTTGCCGTACTTAATTCATCAGTTAGGTTCGGCAGATGAGTGGAGCGGCGTCTGAACCGGACCTTAGGCCCGATCAAATTTCGAATTTCACATGTTAACTCCTATTTTAGTCGACTAAAATAATTAAATTTGACAGTTCAGACGTCGGATATAATGGTACTGGGTTTAATTCCATTTGTTGTAAAAATTCCCAGTCTTTAAAACGGCTTAATTGTATAATGAAAAATATATATGGATAATAGTTTCTATAATCAATGCATTGTATTCGGCATATGTGAAATGCGACGTCCGACTCAAATGTCGAACCTAAGTCGCAGATTTGGTAAAGTCGTATTTGAATTTGAAACTGTCGAATTTAATTGATTCAGACGTCGCATCTCACATGCAGTTAATTCTCGGAATCTTTCTTTTTAAACTCCTTTTTATCTTTATTTTGTTTTCTTTCTTTCTTTCCTTCTTAAAGCTAGAAATAGTCAGTTTTGTTCTAACAGTAAACGTTCCTGCCTTTCTTTAAAGCAAGCCGAGTTGCAGGAGAATCTCGAAGCACGGGGTGAACGGATGGGAGGAGTTCAGACACACAAGAGAATGGTAGCGTCACTTGAAAAACAGATTGCTGTACAGGAAAAGAAACTGGAACAAGTAAGACACGTTCAAATTTTCCTCCCTAATATTATACTACCGGTATTTGAAGAGTTCATCTGACGCGGAGAATGTGGTTTTTTCTTGGGTATTTTTCGTGGGTGTCAATCGCTTACTTGTCAACAGTGATCAATCTGGCCAATCAGATAATGATACCAGAATCTGGTATCATGGATGGGCGGCATCAGACACAAAGTCTACAGGCTCCCCAGCCTTTTGTTTTCCCCCAGGCCACGTTCGGCTCGCTTCGCCCGCCGATTTTCTTTTTCGCCCTGGGGCCCCTCTCGAAAGACCCGGAAACTTTTCAGGCCCGAAGGCAAATTTTAAAATCACAACCTGTTTAATGGTAGCCCAGTTCCCAGCCCACAAACCAGTCAGTTTTGCTTCTTTAAATGATAGTTTCCTTGTATCATTTTTAAAAATTATTGAAACTTTCATCTTGAATGCAAACACAGCAAGCAGGCCCCTGCTCCACTTGAGAGCCTGTTCGCAGGCTATTTGGCAACCGGTGGTTCACCTGAACAGTTTGTGGTGGTCTTCTGTGGTGGCCCCCACAGAAGCTATGCACCTATGGGGCACCGAAAATGGCTTGTTCATGGCTTCTGGAAAGTAGCGATAGACAAAAACGTAAACACGAAAAAGAAACGAGATTATTATCTTCTACCTTCGTCTCTCCCTCTTCCTTGTCATGACTGTTCGAGAACCTGGGTCTTCTTTGAAAAGAAAGATTAGTTGCAATTACAGCAGACCTTGCTTGTCGTTTTCTTGTCCTCTAGGCTAGCCTTTTTAAATGCATTAAATGCCTTTATTTAATGAAGGAAACTGTGAATCTTTTTGTACATTGTAACTAAACTGTCTGTTTTTCACAGGTACAAGAAAAGCACAACAAACTGCAAGAAACTTTGAATCAGTCTCAAGAGCAACTTTCGCAAGTAAGAATGATAGCTTTTCTTTTAGTGGACTAGACGGTGTGTTAAATAGTTTCTGCTGCTTTTTGTTCAATTTGTGATGTAAAATGTCTCGCGCGTGTCGCTGTTTGAGCTCAGTTAAACGTAGAGTTTGTATTGTAGTCTTTAGGGCTGAAAGGATCTACCATCTTTGCTAATTTTGCAGTAGTGCTTAAGGCTTTTTTTCTTCTGTTTTTTCTTTGAAGGTTCTTTCTCGTGGGGAGAGAATAAGTGAAGAAATGGAGAAGATTAATGAATTGGAGAGTGGTGAAAATGCCAGGTATTGAGTCTGAACTTACCGTAAAATTCCGAAAATAAGCCCCGGGGCTTATATTTTTTAAAGGCCCTGTTTAAGGGGCTTATTTTTGGAGGGGCTTATATTCGGCGGGGCTTATCTACGGAGGGAAATTTGCGTTTCAAAACCGATTGGGCTAGCCTTATAGTTGGAAGGAAATTTACCGTTTTTGCTTTGTTTTATTTTGCATTTGAGGGCAATTTCCAAGTACAAGCCCCCCGGGGGGCTTATATTTGAAGCTGCGATTTAACGGAGGGTTTTTTGCGTTACGAGTTTGAGGGGCTTGTACATGGAGGGGCTTATTTTCGGAATTTCACGGTATTAGGGAGCTTAAGCAACGACGAAGGCTACGTCAACAAGAACGCCATGACATTTTTTTTATTACATTTTTCTTCCATTCACCACCGAGCTTAATTAACCATTTTTCTTTTAATACCTATCACCACAAAGCACGCGCTTAACAATGCTGATCTGCTCCTCTGAACAAGATATGTATGTGTAATCAAATGGTGACGAGTGAAATTAGGGAATAATTTCACGCGCGTTTTGCCCAGATCCTAATAAAGGCTCGGGAAATTATTAGGATTTGGACAAAATGCAAGTGAAATTATTCCATAATTTCACGAGTATACCATTTGATTACCTATTAATATCATGGGTGACGAATTACGTTAGCAATCTTGGATTTTTGACATGTTTATCGGTCAGTTGTTCATGTATGACCCCATGAAATGTCCTCAGGCATACATGAACTACTGACCTGTTTATCCTGGATCGTATCGATCGAGAACTCCACTCTCTCGAACGTTTAGAGCTTAAATTTGACTCAAATTTGGCATTTTTCGACAAAATACCTGTCAGAATCCTTCTTGATGTGCTCTTTGGTGTGTTCAGGTTTTCTAAAGCGTCTTTTTGTGCCCTGACATCTTCATTTATGACATTTTAAAACTTCGTCGCCATCTTGACACTGAGACGTACGGAAGGTTGCCATGGCAATTTTGTAATTTCACCTGTGAAATTACAAATTATCGCTGAAATTTCGCGCCAAAATTAAAAAGTAATTCATCACCAACCTCGTTGGGCGGGTAGGACAGAACCCTGGGAACGAGGTTGATTCGTCACCTATGATATTAATTAAAGAGCGTTACATATGAACCTTGTGAATGTTGTTGCTCTCCTTGAGCCGCCTCGTATCTAATTAAGGATAGAGCACCCGCTGATATCTGGGATGTTTAAGGCTGGAATCCTGTCGGAAACTCAGCGGATAACATCCCCTTCATTTTGAGCGAAGTGGAATTATCTCGATGGAATTTGAAAGGCTGCAAATTCACTTTATTTAAGACGTTTTCGCTTTCATCACCGTCGTAGTTTCGTGAGCACCCTACCACCTATCATGATAGGAGACATTTTTTCCGTGAGCCCATCACTTCTAGAGGCAAAGAATCAGAGGTAAAACATGTTATGTGGGATTTGTCTATGTGTTTTCACGATTCGTTACATGTTTTCTTTGTTTTCTTTCTCCTGCACCTGATAGCATTCTACAAAAGCTTCGTTCAATTGTGGCCATGAATGAAAATCTGAAGAAACAAGAGCAGCAATTTAGAGCACATTGCAAGGTAAACAATAGCATGCAGATATATACTGGGTACCTAATTAAAAAAAGTTGGCATTTGGTCATTGGAAATTTGGGCATACGGAACTCACTGTAATGATTTGCTTGGTTGACTTCCTAACAGTAGCTTTCCAGTGCGCAAGTGCCCAATGTCCAGGGCATTGAATCAGGTATATACAGCCTACGTACGTCATTATGCTTAAAACACAAACCTCTACGTACTGGTTATTTTGAGGTTGTGCATTGTCGAATTGCACTATGGGACTGCTTTGAGGACGCAGTCGCTTCTTTTATTGGCTATTCGCCACTTTAGGGTTGTGCAGGATACCGGTTGTCCTGGGTTTTCATTAAGAATTCTAGTAGCGGGAGAAAGATGTAACGGCTCCACGTCTGAATAAAAAACCGTTCTAGGCTACCGAACATTAGCCGGAGAATCCAGGGTAGTAACTCCGATCAAAGTGCAATAACAGCATTGTGGGACTGTTTTGGGGGACGCAAATAAATAAGAGAAGGAAGAAAACAGTAGGTAGTAAGAGGACTTGAACCCGCGTCATTCATATCCACTACACCATCAAGGGCTAACTGCCGAGACCGCCGGGTTAATTTAACGTACTTTACACGGCGTTAATCATTACATCATTGAAAACTAACCGTTTTTAAAACATTGCTTAACCCTAATCACTGTACTTCGGTGCTTAACCCTGTATTGAACTCTTTTCCTTGTACAACTATCTCTTACTCTGATTTCCCCAACTTTTCTAAAAGTTTCGTGCCCAGTAAATTCGCCTAAATTTAGTATAGCGTGGTGTAGAGTATAGCGTTGTGTAATAAACATAAGGTGTCCAACCTGATGTTGAGGTATCCATTCTAGTCACAACCGCGGGAAAATGAGCCAAATCTCCTCCCCCTAAAACCGTCCCACAATGCAGTTCTACACAACACCGACCCACTCTTACCAGCGACATGATATGAAAGTATGAAAGTAGCTTTCTATATTCATTCAATTAAAACTCATTTTCTCCTGAAACATTTTTTACCTGGCGTCGTTTGTAAGCTGAGGCTTTTTTTAACTCGGAATTGGCCTATCGATTTTACTTAGTTTCTAAAACATTCTCATTGTTATGTTACTTTCTATTCTCAACCAGGAAGAAATGGCTCGCTTACAGGAGAACCTCGAAAAGCTAAAGGCTCAGGGTTCTGAAGATGACAGCGAAGAAAAGGTAAATCTAAAAAGTATTCATTCTCGACCGACCTTAGAGCTCACGCTTTTGACTCCGCGCGTGGTCGTGCGAAGAATTCCTTTCGCCTGCAATTTGGTGATTGAATGCTGATTATCCGAGAAAATGCTTTGAAACAGAATAACAAAAAAAAAAACGGGTTAAAATTTAACCCGGGATTAACGTTAATCGGCCATCGAACAACTGGGCCGACCTGGTTCCTGAAAGGCCTATTAGCGCTAACCCAGGATTGAAATTTTGTTGCACTTTTTGTATTTACCTTTCTGTGCATTGCTTAGAGTAACAATTTGTGTTATCATTACTGTATCTCAGAGCAAGGACTCAACAGTAATTTGTTAATTTGAGTTACATGTTCGTAGACAAGAAAACAGTGCTTAAAATTTGGCTTAATCTTGGGTTAAACTTAACCATTTCTCGACGAACCGGACCCTAGGGTTGGAGACTGTGAAGTAATTAAATGCGCGCTATGCTTTGAGTCATGTTGACTCTTCATTTGACTTATGCGGCAGATAAGAATACTAACCCGACAGATAGCAGAACCACCGAGTTTTAACTCTGGGTGCTCTGCGGCATGTAACAAAGTCACTATAACGGTATTTTTACTTGTTTTTAAAATCGCTGCAAAAGTATTTTTAAAAGATCTTGCGTGTAGACACCGTGCTTCTCTCTGATTTAAATCTGAGGTCTTGGTTTCTATTCTCACCTTGGTTATCGAAGAGAATTTATTGGATTCTAAAGTAGTACGGATAAATCAACTGAACGGACAAGTCGTTTAGTATAAAAGCGTGACGAACAAAATTTTGAATTTCCAAATAGTCCGTTTTCATCTTTACTATATCCATTTTGAAATCACTTGTGATCCCTGCAATCTGATTGGCTTTCAGCGGTGTGATTTATTCACGAATCACATTATTTTTTGCTCCAAATCGCGTCATTCTTGTTCTAAATCACGTCATTTCTGTCTTAAATCGCACCATTTTCGCTCTATATCGCATTATTTCTGTTTCAAATACAGAATGAGATGTAAAAGCCTTTTTGTTTCCGCTTTTCTACCAACCAGCTACAAGATCATTAAATATTCGTAATGACTGAATTCTGCGATTTCAAAATGGCTGTAATAAAGTGGTAATTGAACTTCGTGTCGTGCAATTTTGGTCTGAAATCATACTTGTAATACAGCAATTTCAACTTGTCTTTTCTCTCTGCGCGCTCGTCCGATTTTGAAATCACGCGCATGACTTTAGACCAAATACGCTGCATTCAGTTCAATTACCATTATGTTTATAAAGACGATTTTCCTGAGTCGATTTGTTCGTCTAGGCAGAGAAATCGTCTAAAGTGCGACTTTTGAATTTGCATCAGACAAATTTGTCCGTCTTCTTGTGTGAGAATGGCCATTGTAAGTTACCCTAAGCGAACAACTAGACAGACTCGTTTACGGTATTTACTGTGTTTGAATTTTATTCTCTCTTTTTATTTATTCAGGAAAGATTAGAACTTATTGATAAACAATTCGAGGCGGATAAAGCCAAGCTGGAGAAAATAAGACTTCTGCTGGTAAGTTTTTTGTTCTAGTAATATTAAACCAGAATCAAATTTGATTGATAATGTAAATGTAACTCTCAGTTCTTCTTTCTCCACCTTATTTTTGTTTACGAAGGCTCGAAAGAATCGCGAGATATCTTCGCTTCAGCGGAAGATTGACGAGGTACCATCACGCGCGGAGCTTACTCAGTACCAGAGAAGATTCCTGGAGCTGTATAACCATGGTTTGTATTTATACTCCCGAGAGTTCCTTTAAAAAAATCTTAAAGAAAGGTCCAAATTTCGTCCCGTGATTGCGGAAATGCAGAAATTAAAAACTGAACGAAACGAATTTAGTTCCGAAGAGGATTTTATTTTAGTGGTTACTCCTGCATAGGATTTTCTTCACAAAGTTAAAACTTCTTTACAAGTTTTTATGACTGTGAGTGAAAATCTAACCTCAACAAAACGATGAAAAGTGCTACGAGATTTTATTGTATTTCTTTTTGAAAATTCTTACAATTTTTTAAAGGAATATAATTGTATACGTTTGAGCACGTTACGATCAAACTTAATTTTTATTGTCCACATTCTTCCTCTGCTTTTAAAATCAAAGATGGCGCCTGAACGCTCGCCATGCAATCCATCCTATCGCTAGATAGGAAATAATTTATTCTGTGGTATTTTATCCCTGATGTGCAAAACCTCCATGTTAATTTTGCAGTTGCTGGGACTCATAAGGAAACTAAGCAGTTTTTTACCTTGTACAATACACTGGATGACACCAAACTCTACTTAGGAAAAGAGGTGAGTTTCCGTAAATTCTCTATTAAGCACGTGACCTTCCTAATAGAAAATTACTTTGCGCGGATATTAACTACGCAGAGAGGGTGGATTAAACGAAAAATTGGATGAACATGCCAGTACAAAAACCGAACGCAGCGTTTCCTCTTGTAATACAGTGTCATTGCTTTTCTAACATTCACCTCGTGTTTTTCCAGGTTAACCTATTGAATTCCATCCATGATAACTTTGAACAGTAAGTTAGCTCGTTTTTACACTTACAAATATTTCTTATATTGAAGGAGAAAATGCCCTTTTGCGGCTGGTCAATCACGTGGCTCAAAGAGAAACAAAAACTTCCTGATGTAAGACAAAGAAAGAGCTTACATCTTATGAAATAGTACTTTTTAACGAAAGCTCAGAGATACATTGATTGCGGCCGCCATCTTGAAAGCAATTGAAAAACCTAAGGGAGGAGGGCAGCATTGGAATCATTTTTTGGCTCGCCCCAACTCTCTGTCAGTCAGTTTAACGTTCAAGACGGCGGGAAATTAATAGTATAATTGTTCGCACTGCAAAATACGCCTTCCTTACAGGCTACTAGCTCTCCTGTATGGCGTTTTCTTTCCACGTGACTGTCCAGCTACAAAACCCATTCATCAGCTGCCCAATGGGTCATTTTCACCATGATGTTATTTTACTATAACTGTCAGAATGCAATTCGCTTTCTCAATAGTATTTCGTAATCCTAATCCCAGTAGCTTTTAAACTGCGATGGTCCTAATTTGCCCGAGAACAAGGAAACTAGATGCCTTCTGACAGTTGTAGTGAAAAAATGCCATTATTAAAGTGTGCTTCATCATTAGTTGATTGATAATGATAAGGTTGTTTGTTTGTTTGTTTGTTTGTGTTGATGGGGAGTTTTGTTTATGTATATTATTTATTTTATTTTTTTGTTTTGTTTTTGTATTTCTGAGTGGTACTGGGTTGAGGAGGGGGGATGAGCAGTTCCAGGAACTCGCAGAGCACGAGAATTAGTCTAAAACTTGATCTTGACGATCCTTTTGCTTTTCTTCATGTCCTTTTAAGAGCAATGTCATCTCCTTCAAACAAAGAACAGTTCTTAAAACAGTTTGACAGTATAGTCAGAGGAATTGTTGACAACAAGGAGAGGGTAAGACAAGATACTCAAGCCTAACTTGTTCACAAGCCTCACTGGTTGATCCATCCATGAGTCCAATTTCCTCAGTGTACTACTAACCCCGAAACCCTGTGTGTTCTAGCAAAACTTAACAACAGTAAAAACCCGCGACTCATAATTGTCGACAACAAGGAGAGGGAAAGACAAGATACTCAAGCCTGACTTGTTCACAAACCTCACGGGCTGGTTCATCCATCCATTAGTCCAATTTCCTCAGGGTATTACTAACCCCGAAACCCTGATTTTCAAAATGTGTGTTCTAGCAAAACTTTTAAAGATACAGTGAAAACCCGCGACTTAGAACCTGCAGTTTGCCAAGTTAATCTAAACAAGTTCTTACATAAATGATACTTGACACAAATTTAGGCTATGTAGCTTCTTAAATAGGTTCTTTTTTTCTAAAGACAAAATGCATTGTATTGAAGAGTATTCAGCTCATTCCGTAGGTAAGCGGTCGGAGAGAAAAGTTAGCTGCATCGTCTGCATCTTTTTGTGAATTTTCGTACAGTTTTTTCAGTCTTCTGTTTTGTGTTTCTGCGTTCTACTTACCTACTAACGTGGCTTGTATAATTTGTTTGATTTATTTTCAGTTAGATATAAGTGCATGTTTGTGTTGTATTTTTTGTGTCATTTCGACCCTAATAATGTAATTTATTCTATATAATTTGGCTTCCAAGACTTGTTAACTCTCTAGTTATTTTAGGAAGCCAACAAATTTAATTTTTCTTAAGTATGAGGGGTCAATAAAAGTTTTTGTTGTTGTTGTAAAACCTGTATACCATTACAATTGCAGTTGGAGTAATATTAAGTCACTTATGTATCCAAAGAGGTAGGATCCTGAATGGTGACTTACCTTATATTCGCCCAACTGTACAGAATTTTTTCAATGGAATTTAGCAAGTAAGAGCCTGTTTCAAATTTGAGGCTAAACAGATTCTTGTATAATGGGGGCCTTACTGGCAAATTTTAGCCTAACAAGTAAAATACAGGTTCTTAGTCGCGGGTTTTTAGTGTAATTACCAAGCAATTAATATTTTTATTTTTTCTTAATTCAATTTCCTAAGATTGAGAAAAAGAAAGCTGTGGAAAAACAGAGGCGCGACGCGTTGAACCAAAAGTACCTCGATATTGTTGAACAGGAAAGGTTGTACTTCAAAACAGTCAAAGATTTCACCGAGGTAAGTCGATATGTGGTTGCTCTGTCGTTATTTGTACAACATTTTATGGAAGACGAGATAATGAAAAAAATGAGGGTTAAAGTTGAGAGTGAGATTTCGACCGCTTTGCAGGCATTATCGATGAGCAAGATAAAACGCTTTTTGAGTGTTTTAGTTGTTTGTCGTATCAACGTCTTTCACCCCAGAAACTGCAAAAAGTAAGTTCGATATTGTGATGTCTATGACACCGGTTTAATAAACAGTGCCACAGGAAAGTACTGCTTAGTTGCTTTCCCACTTTACAATTTCATTCATAGACTCAAAAGTTAGAATTACCTTGTACAGCTTAATAAACAGTACCACAAGAAAGTACTGCTTTGTAGCTTTCATTTGAGTGGTGACACTTCATGATTTCATCACCAAACTCAAAAGTTAGAACCATCTTGAACAGCATAATAAACAGTACCACAGAAAAGTACTGCTTTGTAGTTTTCTTTCACACTTTTGGGTTTTATCACCGGACTAGAAATATAAAGAACTACCACTGAAAAGTACTGCCAAAAGTTAGCCATCATGATCTTGTGCTAATCATTCATTACTATCTTTTTTTTTTTCGTTTGCAGGAGTGCCACAAAAATGAAGTGTTGTTGTCCAAGCTTAAAAACTTGGGGATCTCTTAACCGTTATTGTACATCTTTATTCGCATAAAAATTGTGTTATCTTTTTTGTCTCGTTGGTTAGTTTGAGTAGATTTCAATCAGCTTGCGTGCAGCAATGCAGATAGGTAAATTTTCAAGAAAAGAAAGCAGATAATAATAAAAACTAGAATTAAAATTACAGAGAGAAACACTGTTTCACCACGCCCAACAAATTGAGGACATTTTGATTTCTCTCCTGACTTTTAAATTACTTCGGGGAAAAAATGGACAATGGACTAGCCGAATGTTTCGCGAAAACAATTTATCAGGTTCGGGCCTTAGTACAGGGCAACCTCGTCAATACACCTGGAAATTTAGTCATTTTAACGGGATATCGTAACGAATTTTGACCCCGTTAACAAACAGTCCCTAAATTTTTCGCAGTCCCCAATTTTTCCGTAAGGTCGTCGAGATCGAGCGCTTTGCGTTGCGGGCGACCGTCTTGAATTGTATAAGTGTCGAATCTACTTAGGGAGTGGACGGTTAACCAGGATGGAGGCCAGTTTGGCTTACAACCACCCCCTCGGTACATACTCAATCCTGACGATCTCAGGCTTACGATCGACGTAAAAACAGTCCCATGGTGCAATTCGTCATCATCGACCCTTGCCCGCGAGTATCTTTGAAATGACCAATGGCCGCTGGGTTTAGGGGGGAGTAGGACGGGGGTTGCATTGTAAAGTGAAATTAAATGCTTCTCGTGCTAAAAATATGAGTGAATGTACATTCCAACCTCGTTCCCAGGGTTCCAGAGAGAGGTAGGAGAGGGAACCTGAGAACGAGGTTGCCTCCCTAATTAGGACACCAAATAGTCAAAGACACATGCCCGTATTACAGACCAGAGGTGTCCGTGTTTAAGTTGGAAGTTTGGTATCTTTGGAACCAAAAGAACTGACGTCATTAGGGAGCTGTCCGTATTAAAGAGGTGTTTGTAAAGAGAGATCGGCTTTACTTCTAAAAATAGGAAAAAACGAAGGATGATAATTTGCAAAATGTTATTTTATTAAATAAATTAATTCGATTTGTATGGATTTGTGCAAGTTCACTTTTCATTGACCCCCTTTGCCCGAACTACCTACTACTTCTTTCTTTCTTTCTTTCTTTCTTTCTTTCTTTCTTTCTTTCTTCACTTCTCGTAGTTTGTTTTGTTTATCTTGTTTTTTTTTTCTGTCAAATTTATGATAATCGGTTTTGTAGTTGCGGTGTGACATAAGGAATGAAATTTTGGAGGATCTCGTACAAGTATCTTGTCTGCTCTGTGTTCTTGACATAGATAGCCATAGAGCTGGATTTACAATGCATTCGTAGCAAGCAATTAACTGTCCGGTTGTCGATTCACAATACTAAAACCTTATTGGTTGACTTACTAGCAACGGCCACGTGACCGTCTCTTGTAATGGTCGCTCCTCCTGATGCGTATTTCTCATAAAAGTAGACTTTCCTTTTGAAATTACCCACATGGTCAAACGCTATTAAAGCATTGCTGGCCCGGTCAACTACAACAACTTCTTCAGTGTGAGGGTTGAAAGTTATTCCTGATGGAGTAAAGTTGCTGGGAATTTTCCTGTGAGGCTTCATAAACAGGGACGGGAGAATAGTACGCGACTTAAGGCTCGCATCATTTGCAGCTCGCTTTGAAATGACGAACACAGCGTTCAAAGCTGTCACGATCAAGTCACCTCGCGTTGTCACGCACATATGTGACTCCTGAGCTTGCGTGAACTCACCAGTGAACGTAAAGCATGACAAGAAAGTCCCGTCTGTGTTCAAAACAAACACAGTCTCTTCACACAACGCAAAAATTCTGTCCCTGTTTCTATCCACAGCAACACTTGTCAATTTGCCTTTATTGAAGCTGGGCAGGCCCCGTCCGAAACTCCAACAAAAATTCCCGTTTTTGTCTACGACAATTATTTCGTTTGTGAACTGAAGGTTTATGTAGGATTTATAGCTGCTTCCAATATAGACCCTGTCGTTTTTGTCGACATCAATGCATTGAGGGTGAAGAAGGTTAGTCACTACCGTGTCTTCGTTGAAGGTTTGCAGCAAAGCAAGCTCACAAACTCTTTCGCTCAATGCGCCATCCCTTGAGAACATTTTTATCTGGAAGTTATATCGATCGGCAACTAAGAAATCACCCTTGCTGTTCGTGGCGATGTCAACCGGGCCATTTAATTGCGCTGGATCCGCTCCGAACTCGCCAAAAGACCAGAAATAACCCCTACAAACTTCCCTGCTCAAGACCGGGTGAATTTTGTGGGCGGAATCAACAGGAATTTCCGGCCAATTTCGAAGAAACTCGTCACCCTTCGAGCAAAGATGTAAATACTCCCACAAGATGCGATTTATAGACACCACTGAACTGATAAGAGCTTCCCTTTTCATTTCGCAAAACAGCTTTCTCAAGTTAAAGCTACCGAACCGCACGGAAAATACCCGACGAACTTCCGGTAAACTGTTCAACTGCTCGAGATAGTTTTTGCACAACACGACTGCGACTTCCGGTTCGGCAATGAACTCTAGCATGGTCGCCGCAACTCTGAACTTCATTGACAAGACCCGATCGTAAATGTCCAAACCTTCATTGCTAAAGGCCTTAGTAGCGCTTTCAGCGGCTTTCTTGAGAAAATCTTTAGCTTCAATGAAAAACTTGTCTTCCGAATCGATTTTGTCAAACTGCAATCCGTCAGACATAAGATGTAGAACTTCCCATTCATCTAGTTCTATATTAGTTGCGTCAGTATTGAAAAGGCTAACGTCGTCAAAATCGCTCTTAAACGTTAACACTTCAGTTTTAATGCTTGGTCCACCTTTTCCAGACTTTGCAAAGCTGTGGTACATCAAACTGACCCCATCTTTGAAAAAGTTGGCGGAAGAGATGAGATCCATCTTGCACAATCCCTCGAGTTTTTCGCGTATGGAAGTGAGTTCGCGGACGATGAAATCCCTGAATCTCTCGTCGCTTACATCTCCGTGTTTAAGATTCTCGGCTCCTGTATCGCGCATCTTGCTAAGCAAAAGTTTAAATGTCAACCTCAAAGTATCTGCCACCACCGAAGCCATGGTTCTTCCGCGAAGAATAGTTGGGATGAAGAATAGATGACGAGGGTTAAATCCCCTTACATTGCGTCACACACATGTTGCGCAAATAGTACGTGTATGTTGGGGGGCGGGGCCGGGGGAAAGGTTGGTGACCAGGGGGAAACGAAAAACAGTTCGGGTTAGCGGGGATTCTAGTTATCGGGATCGATTGAATTTTCAATTCGCCACTTTAACTCATAGTTACTGATGCTTCAGCACTTCAGTGTTGATAGTAAAGTGTAAATTTACTTATTTCATCAAAAACAGTTACTTGATTATGCATCTTTAGGGAAATACGCCTTTGTTCACGCGCTAGGTTACCGATACTTTAGGGGCGGATCTTTTTTTTAGGGGAGGTATGGGTGATTTGCTTTGGGTAAGAATTTTTCTTCCAAAACTCCGGGTCCTCTGGTGATAGAGTTTTTCTCCTGACATACAACGCGGTGTAAGATTATTTCCTCCAGCATTATACGCAACATTTTTCTTTTCAGTGTCGAGGGGAATTTTTTTGCGCTAGGTTAATTAATAATTTCCTTGCAAGAATTTTTTTCACACAAAATCAGTCCGCAGGATATTTTTTTCTAAAATCGCCCATACCCCCTCCTCAAAAGTTTAATGGTCGGCTAATAAAATTGCACCAATTAAAATCAAGTTGGTGTAGGGTTAGTTGGGCGATTATACGTCAAGGAGTGATGGGATGGATACAAGAACCAGAATTCGAGTCAGATCGGGGTAAATCTCAGTGAAATTTTGATCAAGGACAATAAAATGTAGATCGAGCTAACGAGGAATTCGAGTTATCCGAGTTCGAGTTACCCAAGTAAAACGACTGAAGAGTGGAAAAGTGTGGTGTGGATTGATGGCATGGCTTCTTCTACCTGTCACCTCCGGTTTACCTCAGGGTAGCATTGTCACGGTCCCCTGCTCTTTGTGATTTTTATCATTGACCTTCCTGACGTCGTCCATGAGCAAACTAACACCGCTCTGTATGCTGATGGTACCAAGTTGCCGTAAAATAGGAGGTTGCAGGATATACTCATTTTGATGTTTAAAGTAAAGAACAAATTAACAGTGAACCAAATTGCGGATATTTTTAATATCAACGAGGAGAATATTAATAGTAAGAGATATAACCTAAGAAATGCAGATTTTGTCTTACCTCGGTTTAAAACTGTTACTTATGGAAAACATTCTCTCAGATTTCTCGGACCACAGTTGTGGTCTAAACTAAGCAAGGAGGAGAGAAATATTGCAACTTTGGCAACTTTTAGGACAATGATACGTAAGAAGGATGTAACATCATTTCTTGAGGGATGTGGGAGTGAATGCCGCTTATGCTTAGATTAAGAGGACGTACGCATATTTACTTATTCATTTTAGTGTCCGAGCTATTATACGCATTTAGTTTTTATATTGTAAATTTTCGAACTTAGCTTCGAAGTGTTAAATCTAGAACTTAGTTTTTAGAGTGTAAAAGAGCACTTGGCTTGAATAGTGTCAATTTCCGGCCTTTATAGTACTTAATTAGTTTCTATTAATGATGTAATTTAGTTTTAAAGGTGTCCCCAATTAGTGCCAATAGGCACTAGAACGACAAGACACTTTAATAAAGGTTATGTATGTATGTATGTATGTACTACTGTGTCGGGACCTGACAAGTGTCACCGTTCATAATTTACGCTTTAATTACTGTCTTTTGCACATTTTTATCAGATTTCACCGTTTATATATTACATTATATTTTAACTTCCTTTTTAAGACAATTTTTCTGTTTTTTTTTTTTTTTAGATTTTACTTAGCTTGGGGTGGCGCCCCGCATGGGTCACGTGTCCCGTCAGCCTCGTCCCCAGGGCTTTTCCCTTTAAGGGAAAAGCCCTGGGGACGAGGTTGGTGTCCCGTTCGTGCTATTCCCCATTGGTCTCTTTCATGCTAGTATTTGTCTTGGTTCTATTTATTTGTTATTATTGGACCAATAAATTTATTTAAGACATACTGTGGCCTAAAGTGCGTGACATGCCCGGCTGACGTGCGTGACTGGTCACAAGCGTGACCGTAGTGGACCTCTGATTTGCATAATCACGTGATAACCTGGTCACGCTAGCTAGCGGTCGAACCGCGAAGCAATAGAGGACAATTGCAAGCATGGGTAAAGTTGCGCTGGTAAGTGCCCTTCTAGTTAAAGTATTCGATAAGTTTTCAGCTGTAGGCCTCGAGGTCGTAGAGCCTTGACCATTAATTATAATAGCATTTGGTGTCAATTGCAACATATCAAATATTAGGCAGTTAAAAACGGACGCAGGCTATATGTCATGGCCTGCGTCCCGCGTCCATTTTTTTTTTTTGTTGTTGACTCGGAAAACTTAATTACTTCACACTTAGTAGTCTGCACTCTAAACATCTAGATTAAACTAAGGTATAAAACTGCTTAACTTAATTGCGTTAAGTCTGAACGGCAAAGGCTAAGGTTCTTGATCATGAAGCAAATAACTCCCCCGTGAAACCCCACGGGCATTTGAAACTTTTAAGTTAGGCCTGGTCTATTTCCCATTACACTAGACCAATGTAGTGGTGAAATGGCCCTCCCAAGAAGAAATGTTTTGCAGGTTGTGAACTCGAACAACAAACTTTCCATTTATTGTGGTTTGTGAATTAAATTCCCCCTACCCCAAGGAGTGTTGAAACAGTAAATTCCCATGGGTCAAAAATTCCCCTGATATCTACCTCATATAACTGGGAATTATTTGATGTGCAGCTGGCAGAATTTTTCACGAATGAACGTTAACAAAGACCAGAAAAGCACCTGTATGACTTTAAAACTGTCAGGGAGATGTGTAGGGCAAATCCTCATATGTTCCACCGTGAAAAAGCACTCCCACACTCTGATTCCACCAGCCATGCTAGTTACGATACGCTAGTTAATTAAATGTATATGATACCATAAATCCTCTATTAACCCCCCTCCCCCCACCTTCCTCCCCTTTCTCCTTTAAAAAAGCACTTAAGGTATTTATTTGTAAATATAATTATTAGTATATTCTAACAAAAATCTGGAAAAAAAACTGTTTACATATTCAACAGTATATTTGTATTAACTTCCTTAATATACTGTTACTTTAATTTCTTTTGATAAAATTTATGGCAACAGATAGATTTTTTATTTTCTCTTTGAAAAATTGTAAATAACAAAAATTCGCCATTACTTCTTACATTTTTGTATCTTTTTCGTAATTGTAATCATGAATGTAATTTATCTGTGTGGCAAATAAAATACAAATACAAAAAAAGAAAAATACCTTAAGAGGAAACAAAGCTGATTAATAAATTAATAGACATAATATTATGGGATTAATTAGTTGTTGGACAACTACACAAGTGCAGTGCAATTTTTTTTAATTTTTTAAATTACATTTTCTTTCCTTTGAAGGTAACCGGTGGTAATCGAGGCATTGGTCAAGCAATTGTCAAACGACTAAGCCAAGAGTTTAAGGGCATTGTCCTTTTTACTGGTAACTCTAAAAAATAAAATTTATATAATTATTATATTAATGCAGTTAAAAAAGTTAACTAATTTTCTAGCAATGGCAGCAGTTATCTTTCATTTATAGTTTTAATTAAGTTCGTCAGTAATTATCCAAAAATCTTTTTTCAAATTATGTTGTCGCAAGATATCCATTCTCCTGTCAACATTTTTATTTTGAGGTTTAATGCCTTCAGGTTAGCTGCATAGCACTGTTGCAATTTCACTTTTGATCTCTGTTTGTGAGGTTAGACACACTTATGACCAATCTTATTTGTTGCACTAATACTTCTTAAAGGTGGTTGGGAGAAGTTGTTCAGGTGACAATATAATGTTAAACTTAACTTGTGTCATAATAATAATTCCGTTATTTACCCTCAGCAGTATTTATAGCACTAATGCTAATGGGGCTGAGCAAATGCCTGAAACAAATAATTCAAATTGAACTTGAATAAATTGTCATCATGTTCATCATCTTGAAATTCATCGTCTTGAATTGAACAAATCCTGATTCTAGATCTTGTCAGCAATTTATTTTATAAAGTAAAATTATTAATTTTACAAGGTGAAATTTTATAATGCCTAGTTTTTTTGCCTCTGAAATAACGATTGTTTTTAGCTGTCAATTATTTCACAAAATACCTAAAACCAGCTCCAGTGTCAGATTGTCGTGCATTCTTTTATTGCAGCAAGAGATGAGAAAGCTGGCACAGACGTCTGTGCAGAACTTAACAATGAACTGGGCTCAACAAATATCCAATTTCATCAGCTTGATATCACATCCAAAGAAAGCATTCACAAACTGCGAGATCACGTCCATGATATGTTTGGTGGGCTAGATGTGTTGATAAACAATTCTGCCGTTTTACTCAAGGTACAGTAGTATGTACAAAAACTATGAGACGTTAGCACAATAATGGGGGCAAGCCAAGGAGTTTCTTATCTCACTGTAGTCTCAAATAGAAGTGAAAAGTCCAGGTTGTATTTCCACAAAAGTGGCTGTGTGGTCACTTGCAAGACAGCTTGAGTGCTTTAAGAGCTTTTCATTACAGACTCAACATGCATGTAAGTCACACTTTAAATGGGGTTTCACAATGCTGTTTGTAACTAGAGATAGTCAAATACAAGAGTGGTCACAATAAGAGCATCGCTTAACATTAATTATAGCTCTTAATTAAAAGATATTTTGCTGTAAACTGTTATGGCAGTCATATATCAGAGAAGGCTTTTTGAGTCCTTATGCATGTACTAGATATCTAGTGTTTAACTACAGCTTATTTGCACTGAAACAGATGAAATTATGATTGCAAAATGTTTAATTTGAACTTTTTGGCTAATTATAGAACTGTCATGATTATGGATAAATATATTATTATTGAATACCCATGTCCCAACAGAAATCTGTTCCTTATGCTGAGAGAGTCGAGTTATCAATTAAGACAAACTTTTTTGGAACGTTGGACATGTGTCATAGTTTCTTTCCACTGCTGCGACCTCATGCCAGGTATGACCTATAGTTATGGAGTTCCACCTAACATGATTGTTAATGATATTTATCATTGATATGTCTAAAGTAATACAAACAACACTGGTTGTTTTGTTTGTACTAGCTTGTAGCCCTCAGTGCAGGCATATTTTGGGCGGGCAAAAACTGCTTGTTTATGTTTGTATTGTACATGTTGTAGCTACCATCTTTGATTTTACAACAGAGGAGGAAGATTGAGGAGAGTAGAAATAGCAACTCTTCTGGTAGGTGCTAGGGCAAAAGAAGGAAAGGGGGGAGGGAAGGGGCTTCTCTCTCCCTGCCCCCTCCCCTGCTTCCTTTGACTCACCCCTCTTCCTCCTCTCTTTTGGAGTCTATACATGGCGCTTTCACAACCAAAAACGCCTGAAGAAAACGCCTGCACTGTAGGCTACTTAGCTTGTGGAAACTCAATCTAACAAGCTCATGGCCCCCAGTTAGAGGCTAGTGAGACTTCACAATAACACATCGGTATTGTACAGACAGTGAAATTGAGATTCCTGTACAATCAGACAACACAACAGCCAATTGGTGCCATGGAACTTTATGCTATCTTATGTAGGCCAATTAAAAAAATTGAATTTTCTCATCTGACCAGATCTTGCCATCAGCTTTGTCGACAAGACTTCTAAATAGACCTGTGAGAATAGGCATGATTTCTATTACTTGGAACTGGTTTGAGACAGCAGTTGTAATTTTTGCGTTCAAATTTCATAACAATTTGATCACTATTTATTTATTTATTTACATCCAACAGGGTAGTCAATGTGACTTCTCAGCTTGGAAAACTGAAAATTGTTTCCCCCTCACTGCAGAGCAAATTTGCCTCGCCTTCTTTGAAAGAGGCAGAGTTAGCATCTCTTATGGAGAAATATATCAGGTAATTAAAACTTGGAAAAATCAAAAGTGTTCCAGTATATAGGGAAATAAAAGCAACAACAACGACGAATTCACGCTGTTTCAAGATTCATCACTCTTTTCCATGAATTTCAAAGGATGGTATCTAAGTTTTAAAAGAATTTTTCGTTGCCTTGTGAATTTAAAGGAACAAATCGTATATCTAAACGTTTTAAAAAGAATCAATCAAATCGTTGCCTCTTTAAATATACAAAGCTAAAAAATAATAATATAATAATAATAATAATAACGCTATTTTTATAGTGCAAATAGGGGTTTCATTGATCAGAAATAGACCTCTTTAAATATACAGTAGTTCTACCTAATATTAATTATGCATTGTCTGTATATGGTGCGTCCGAGTCAGATCTTACACCTGTATAATGTTTCTTGGACCACTGTTTTAAAGGTAATTATACATCTAAGTCTGTAAGTGTATGATTTCTTAGAGAGACAAGACCGTAAAATTTTCAGAAAAGTTTCTAACACTAGTCTACACTTTTATCTATAATGCCTCGTGTCAAACGGTACAGCTACAATCTTAGAAAAGAAATTTGTTTTAATCCTAAGATTAACACTGTGCGTTTTAAGAACTCTTTTATTAATCGTTTAGTTTTTAAATATGAATTAGCTATGTAATATACTAGATTTTTAATTCTTACTTTTTACCTTTGTACTCTTTTTGCTAGATGTTAAATTTCTTACACTTACTTACAAAAGATAATTATGTATTTTTATCTTTTGTTGAATAAAGACTTTATTATTATTATTTTATTATTCACGTCGTCCAGAAAACGTGATCGTGCAAAGATGGCAAGGAAATGTAGAAGAAAGCCTAACGTAAAGTTGTTGTTTTACTAATCTGCCGTGCTCGTTGTAGCCTGTTCCAGGCTCTCAGATAGTGGGGAAGACGCAAAAGAAAAAGGCACGCGAACAGTTGGCGGGGCGAAAAAGAGGAAAAGGATGGGAGAGAGACACCGCCCTCGCTCTCCCCATGCCAGTTTCCTCCCGTTTTATTTTCGTGTTTGCACTTTCTCAATTCAGCGGACCCGACTATCTCGAAACCTGGAACAGGCTATGCTCGTTGCCGACATCGTCATTGTTGCTTAAGCTCCCCAATATCTTAAGTTTACTGGACTATATTTAGAATGATTGGTTGAACAAGAAAAAGTTACAGCTTCGTCATTCATTTGTTTGGCACGGCCAGTTACTTTTACTCCCCTCCCCACTGCTCTCTGCTACCTCCCTGTCCACACGGGTGATTTGCACCTTTGCCATGTTTTACTCACCATATGAAATCAAAATAATTGCAGCCTTTCAAATTAATTCAAGTCATCAATGTTGAGGATTAGAATGATTAAAGAATTACAGAAATGGGATTTTATTGTTCAAAAAGCTCCCATCTTGATTCATCGTCAACTTTCTCTGATTTACTAGTGACTCCAAAGAAGGGAAAGTGACCGAAAATGGTTGGCCTGTTGATGATACTACTTACAGTCCAGGTAAGCATTGAATACTTTTTATTAACAGGTAAATCACCATTTCATTTAAAGCTGACATGCTGCCTCTTCCCCCCTTAATCCAATATGATCTTCATGTTTTTTTGTGTTGTTTTTTTTAGCATTCATTCCTCCACTTCTGATCTGTCAACTGCAGGATTGCATGCTTTGGTGATAAATTTTTTATGAATCACAAGTTTTTTTACAATTCCAAATTCTCGCATTTTTTATAATGGCTTTCAAATCAAGTGTGTTTATTCTGTGTAACTGGTTGTCATTCTCAATTACTACATTTTTCATTCGCTATAAATGGTTTTCATCATAAATTGCCGGTTTCAAATATTCTTAGTGTATAACTAGTTTCTTTTGGATTTCAAAACTGGATTTGGTTTATGACTTGACGTTTTTCATTCTTCATCACTTGTTTCTCATTCTCTCTAACTAGTTTCTCATTCTGTGTTTTTAACGGGTTCTTATTCTCTCTAACTGGTTTTGTCGTTCTGTATTACTGATTTCTCATTCTACATAACTGGTTTGTTTTCAGCCTATAGTGTGTCTAAACTGGGAGTTACGGCACTATCCGCCATGCAGGCTCGGGCCTTCAAACAAGATCCGAGAGAAGGAATCTTAGTAAATGCTGTGAGTATTTTCTGTCAAAAACCAATGATCATTAATTCTTAAGCAGATAGCGCTTATGTGTTTTTCTAGGTAGCAGTATAAGTGAAGATTCTGGGAAACTGTGTACCGGCGCTTATACATTTAAGCCAACCGGGCGGCGTTTCCAAAAATTCTAAAATAAAAATGTACAATTTGTTATTTAGGTGTGTCCTGGATGGGTACGGACTGATATGGGTGGACCACGTGCTCAACGTTCTCCAGATGAAGGTTAGTTTTTTAATCGTACAAAAAGGACGACACCATTCTGTAATATTATCTATGATCACTTCGGAGTCGTTCTGATTTATTCTTAGCCCGCGTATGCCGCTCACTCGCGCGTTCTCGCGAGAATCGCTTCACTCGCCCAAATAGGAGAGCTTGCTGCAGGCTAATTTATTGTTGAAGTATGTCACCGACTGCGACGTAAGTCTAATGACAGACCTTTACAAAGTCCTTTGTATTAGCCTGAGAAAAAGCCACCATTTCGCGACGCAAAGGCAAAGACATTGCCTGCATTTCTCAGTTATCGTAAGACCCAGAGTATTGGTGCGGCCCCAGGAATCAAACCTGCGACCTCGCGCTCCGCAAACAAACGCACTGACGACCGAGCTAATCTTGCCGCAGTCAAATGAAAATGACGTGTCTTTGTTTCATGTCAGGTGCCGATAGTCCGGTGTACTGTGCTCTTCTTCCAAAAGGAACGACAAGTCCCGATGGTAATCTGGTCTACAGCAGAGAAATAGTGCAGTGGATATCAGGCAAATAGACATAAAACACATTAGTAAATTAAATGTGCCAGCCGCTTAGAACTCCTGTGAAGTAAAACTTGTGTAAGCTGTGGTAGTTGTTGGCGCTGAGAAGTGAGAAACTCTACAAATCCTACACTTTTTACTTTCTTACTTTTTCCCACTCACAATACTACACAATTGACAAAAAATAACACCTTGGTGAGAAATTATTCAATCAGGCCGACAAGTTTTCACATGATTGAAAATCTGATGAAAATGGACTAAGTCCGCTACATTTAGTCTTTTGGTGACCTCTAAAAATTGGATCGGTTTCGTTAAAGTCACTATCCTGTTTAGTGCGCCACATGTTAGGTCCAACGGGGTTACAGCCTCATCGCCAAACCTTTTGGGGGGTTAAAATTATTAAGTCGAAGAATGAACGTTGCAGCAGTGCTCTTCTTTGCAAGATTGGGATCATCCGCAGTCAAAAAAAAATCGCTGAAATGAAATCTTGGTAGTTTCTTTGTGTTGACGATATCGGGATCAACAAATGATTATATATAAAAGGGGTGAGTAGGGTATTAACTCAACATTTTTAAAAGCTCTTTTTAAAGTCCTTGAACCATAAATTACTACGTTGTAAACTCTTCATTGCTTAGCTCTTTAATTACACTGAGTAAATATTAGAAGAGATATTTCTATTAGAGATATTTTATTTTGATTATTTCGTTGGTTTTATTGTAATGTGTGGAATTTTTAGTTTCAAACTAATTTAAACCAGTGAAAAATTTACCAAATTGGGCAGCCATTTCCTGCTTCACTTAGTGAATGTGGGTCATTAAAGTGCAAGTGATCTTCTGTTCTTGATCTTCAGAGAGTAAATTTATAAGATAGACCATTAACCACTGACCATTTTGACCGCCGCCTGGTTAGCTCAGTTGGGAGAGCGCCGGTTTGCTTAGCGGGAGGTCGCGGGTTCAAACCCCGGCCGGACCAACACTCAGGGTCTTTAAATAACTGAAGAGAAAGTGCTGCCTTTGCAATGACATCGGCAAATGGTTAGACTTTCTAGTCATCTCGGTTAAAGGCGAAAAAACCGTAGGTCCCGTCTCAGAGCACTTTCCCTTAACTGATTTTTGTGAGATGTAAAAGAACCCAACCACTGTTCGAAAGGAGTAGAGGAAGTAAGCCCCGGCGGTGTGGCTAACCTTTTCTGGGCTGGGTGGGTTGTCAGTTAGGAGAGATCTTAATATAGGGGTAACCTCATGATCTTCCTTCAAGTAACGTAGTGCCGGGCTACCTGTAAACAGTAGGGCCATTTATACGAGGAAAAATAAGACGCGTCTTACATGAGACGCGTCTTGAATAAGACGCGAACTGTACCATTTATACGAGCATGTCTTATCTAATAAGACGCGTGTTAGCTAAGCCGCGTCTTATTTTAGACGAAATGTGCCGTTTATACGGAAAGTTCGCGTCTTACCTAAGACGCGTCTTATTTTTCCTCGTATAAATGGCCCTAGTGTATGTAGGTAAAAACTCCCCATTTCTCTATTCAAATACTGTATATATGAATATCATGCATTCACTTCAACGTAGTCACCCTTTACAGATATGTTTTAATTCTACCGAGAGAAAATAATCTACACAATGATTAACTCCTAGTTGGCTTAATTCAGTCCCTAGTTGGTTAGAACGCTGCATCTTTATCGGAAGGTCATGGGTTCGATTTAGATTGGTTTAGATTTTATTTGCCTTTTCGTTTGCGTATGGTGTTATATGATAATAAGTTTGAATCAAAGGAAAGTAAAATTTGAACCAAGGATAAAATTTAACCACAACATAGTTATCCTCGCCATGGTCTTTCTTCCATTAAAATCCTTATCTCACCTTTCCAGTTCAAATATGAATTTCGTATATCCTCTTTCATTTAGTAATTTTAAACTAAACCTACAAGCGTGCAGACGTCAACTGTTAATTGCAATGCATATTTTTAATGATCACTCTCAAATTAAATTGGCCGTCTTGTTTTCCCCAGCTTGCTCCACACCTTCCGCCACTTGTGCATTCAAAAAAACACATCGAATTTCCCAACCTCGGATCGGGAGAAAACAGGGCGACGAAGGTTTTCAAGCATGGGTGGAAGAGCCTACTCGACTCCTTGGCCTGCTACTCTCTGATTGAGCAGAAAAACACAGGCGCACCCAACGACAATTTTCGGAAAAATATCTGCTCGGAAGACGATCTGAGATCTAGAATTTTCGGAACATTTGTTGTAAAATTTCTTGCTTGCCTGCTTCTCCTAGGATTTTCGAACATCTAAAATATGGTAAAATTGCCTATTTTTAACGGATTTTTACCCTAAAAAGGTCACCTAGAATTTTCGGGAGCCTTTTTTCTGGCTGAAATTTTCGAAAAGGTAAGTTTTGATCCCTATAATTTTCGGATCACTAGACTTTCAGCTAGGAAATCCGAACAGATGAAAAATTTTTAGGGGACAAAAATATGCCTATATCTACCGTTTAAATACCAAAATACGTTTAACAATGCTATGTTTTAGCGGTTTTGAACTTAATTCTCGTTGGGTGCCCCTGAAAACACAGAAGTTTTCCGGCACCAATCAGAAGCCATAACGGCTGCGACCGTGTGGAACTGGTCGGTAAAAAATTGTCCTCGGGACCTCTTCCGCCCGTGCATGAAAACGTTTGTTGCGCGGTTTGTCCCGAACCGACTGACTGCCCCTTGGTCTCCCAGGATGAGCAGGGAATGTTATAGTGTTCACCAATCTGGGTTCTTTAGTCACGAGAACGCGGGAAACGGGAGAATTGTATTCGATGGCGTGGGGCCAGGGAAATTTTACATTTTCTATAGATCATATTGGTTTGAAAATGTCGGGCGTGAGCAGAAGCGATTCATGTCTCTCGAACACTGATAAGGTTAACCTCAAAACATGTTTTAAATTTTCATCACTCAAAATATATATATCAATGTTACATTGGAACACCGCCATATACGACACCCCTTTTCTGGCGAGAACTGATTCTTCCTCCCGCTCTTGGAAACTTTCATAGCGTGAGCAAAATTTCCCCGCCCCGAATGACTGCAGGCGGCTGGGTTAGGCCCACTGCGGATAACTTGTGTTACAGGCGCGGTTTGAAAGGGAAGCGGGGGAGGGAATGTCAAGCAAGCTACTTCGAGGATGGCAGAAATCAATCCTCCATCTCTTCCAGTTTGCTTTGATTACAAGAACAGCCTTTCTCACAAACACAATAACCTAGCGAACAATTAAGTTCGATAAATTCTGGTGAATGTTTTGCTAGTCTAGGACATCGAAATACCCTCCCCCCCCCCCCCAAAAAAAAAACTACCGGTACTGATGAAAGTCAAATTCAGTAAGACATTTCTTTGTGTTCATACAGCGACGTTTTCCTGCTCATTATGGAGGGTTGGGCTGAGGTACGTGAGCAACCTCGTTCCTCTTCCCCTCCAGGGACGGGAAGAGAGAAGACCCTTTAAACGACGCTAGGGCATGCGATGGATGGGAGGTAACGTAGAGGCGACGATTTCATGAGGGACCTTACGATCCGACAACGGCGACGTCAATGAAAAGGTCACCGAAAAATAGACTTATCGTCCTTTCAAACTTTTTCGCCCTCATGCCAAGTCACCCAGTTACTTGAAAGTAGGGAAAGTAATTTGTAACTGAAGAGAGGGGACCGCGTCCGACTTCAGGGAGAGATGGTAGCATTTATCGCCTTGACGGTGTCTTTCTCAATTCGACTACTTGCGTAGGGAAGGCAAAGAAATGTACAAAAATGCGTAATGCACGTGCAAAGTTGTTGTTTTGCCAATGTAAACCTATTGCATTTTTCCGTTCTCGTTTCGTCCCTTAAGTTCCCTATTGTCACATTTACGCAGCCACCCGACCCGTTTTTTTTTTTTTTGGCACTTAGGCAACTGATAATCTTTGTGTCTTGAAGCTGCTGTTCTTGCCTTGTTGGATTTTTCAGATTTTTCTCTTATAGATCAAGAATGCCAGAATTGTTTGCAAATAATTCTCAGCTGACTTTTTGCGGTTGTTTTCGGGAAAATAATTTCAATTCCTTTCAACACGGATGTTACTAAAACAAGGAACCGGGACGAGCAACGAGCTCGGGGAACTGGGAAATGAATAATGGGAACAAAGCAGAGAATTGGAAACGAAGCTACTGATAGGGCTGGGTTTCAAGTTATGTTTTGTTCCTATTTTTCATCATCCCTTTCGGTTCCCCGTTTTAGTAACATCCGTCTCAACGCGCTTTCAACAAGCTTTTTTCTTTTCGTTTTCAAACTGCACTAGTTTCGGCTTCTTTACCATCAGTCATTCGGGTTCCTGCTCTCCGAGTCAGATTACTACGGAGAAAGTCATCTTATCAACCGTTTAAGCTCACTTGTATTCATCAACAAACTTTACGGCTAATACACAAAACTAATGAACAGCTTTTAATCGCTTGGTGTAATCTTCAGAATAATAAGTTTTCACGAAATAGAGGTTTTCTTCTGCCTTCGACTTTTATAAAGAGGTAAACTTTTTTACCAAACGGTCAAAAACGTGGGTAATGTTGATATAAGCCTGTCGAAAGCAATCAATGTAGTTTTTTTCGTAATTTCAAAGCAAACGGAGGAGAAATTTAAAAGAAAGGTAGAGCTCAAGCGAAACAATGCCGCTTTGTCGCCAGGTTTTGGCTTAATGGGGTGAGGCTTTTGTTCGTTCTTTTGGTTATTTCTTTTTATTTCGTGTGGCGCAATCTAAAGAAATTACATTACCTCGTTTTATCTAATTAAAATCACCTAATTTTTCCCTTGGCGTTGATTCCGGCTGAAAAAGAGCGAGCGAAAACAAATTTCAAAGCGATTGAGTGATTTGCGTTTTGCCACTGAGTGCATAAATCTTTTTAATGGGTTTTACCACTGTTTTATTTGATAAGCGTAGCTAATTTCCTTCTATTCGTTTTGTGTGATCTTTCCGCCCGCATGCCCGCACAGATGTCATAGAATGGATTAGTTTAACGGCCGAGAACAAAACCTGAGGATTATTGCCCAAACACTGTTCAATTTTTATGGTAATGGTCTCCATAACACTGGACCATGAATAGTTAAAGTTTTGTTTACTTGATTTTTTTTGCCAGACACGCTCTTAGAGCACGATCGTTAACTTATTCGTTAGTTTTGCGATTCTTATGGACAAATCTTCAAATTCTCCCATAGCTCGCTTGCCTGAAGTCGAAGGCCTCGATGGAAGATTTAACGACGTCATATTTTGTGGATCAGAAGGCCAGCAGCACGTTGTATTTTTCCCTGGAGATGTACAGGTCAGTACGACCATTTTTTCTTTCAGTCATTTATATCAACATAGAAAAATCAGCAAAGAGACTTTAACAGAATATTCTCTTCTAGAATGAGTATAATGTGTGAATGGTCTTACGTTATGGTTTATTGACAACTTTTTGCGTTAGTACGCTAAATTGTTTGACGGAGCATTTCACGGTGATGTGAACATATAAGAACAGATAAGTGTTATTTGTCTGCCCTTATCTCATAGTCGCTTCATTTGTCGATTCCATATATTGCAGTTGAAATCTAATTTCAGAGCTGTATGGATTTATCGAGCGTTGTGGCTTGAAAAGAACGTCTCATCTTTAGGAAGTACAAGATTGTTAATTAGTGTACTCACTAAACGTTTTGTTTGTGAAGGTATTGAAGTTAACAGCTTTTAAATGAAAGATAGCGTGGTCTAATTGTTAATTCATCTAGTATTTGCAACAGACAGCGTGGCTTAACGAATGCGTTAATGTTTTATCGAAAAGAAAACTAATTCTGTGTAAATCGAAGTATTTTTTATTCAGTTTTAATAGTAACGAGACTGAACCGTAGAAGCGCATCCTTTTCATAAATTAATTTCGTCCTTTGCATGTGTACAGTATTGCGTTTTCCGAGGAGTTTGAATTTGAATAATGTTACTTTGTAAATGTCCGCGTAAACAAAGCACTTCGTTGTTGGATATATTGAGCTTATATACTTAACTGTACTTTTTGCTCTTTTATCGCTTACAGCAATATTTCCTATTTCGAGAAATTGGTTTCTTTTTTGTAAGGCGTCAAGCTAATCATGATTATTAAACGAATTCCATTTAATGGGCCAAAATTGACAAAAGACCTCTTAAAAAAGCCACGGTCTTCGTGGAATCAAATTAAGTCGCCTCTAGAAATTACAGAGGCGGAAAAGAACTGTCTGTGTTTTTGTTATTTCAGGTTTTAGCTAGCCTTTTGAAAAAAATACATCGTATTAATAAGAACAGGACACGCGTAACAATTTTGTACGATGACAAAGCGCCATAGGAGTTCTGACGCCGTTTTTCAAGAGTCTTTCAACCTTTTCCCAACATTCGTTTATTCCAAAGTTCAACGGGTGTTGGAACGTTGATGAATGGAAGCTTAAACCAATTTATCAACGTGTTCACGTTTTTTTCAACAAGCCTTCCAACTCGTTCAACAATGTTTGCGATCTGCGCAAACGGTCTCGGTAATATTTGGTTCAAGAAGTGTTTGTCAATGATTTACGCTTTGTGCGCATAGCTCTTCGTGTCGACACGAAAATCTAAAATCTATCCGGCATAGAATGAACACCTATCCGATATGTGACTCTTCACTTTCGAGATCAGCGCAGGCGTAGCTTTGCTCCGTTAAAGAAATCGCGCCGAAAACAGCGTTCTTTATGTGTGAACAGACACCCGACCCGGTATGGTTTTCGTGTCGGCTCAAAAGCTATCTGTTATACGCATATGTTGAAAGTATTAACGGTGAATTTTGGGTTTGATATGAATAAGACAGCTTAAGGGCATTTTTAAACGTTTTTTATTGGAATATATATTATTTAGAATTAATGAGGAAAGTTGAAAAGTATAATCCATTTCCTTAAAAGTCCTGATAGTTGATCGGGGCTAGTAAGCAATTTATGGTTTCTTTTGAACAGTTCAGGCTCGTTTACGCAAGCGACGTTAGGTATGATTTCAAATTTTGCATAAAACTACTGCTAGCGGCGAAACATAGGTCAGGCTATATGTCGCAGCGAAAGCCTCGGTGGTTGCTCCAAACCTTCTAGAATTTTGAGGCCATTTGTCAACAGTTTTTTGCGCGAAGGTTACCAGAAACCTACCCATGGCGGATTTGTTGACGCTGTACCCCTTGGACCAGCACGAAAATCATACCGCAAAGGGCTTCTGTTCATACGCCAAAGAACGGTGATTTCGGCGCGATACGAAGCTGCACCGCGCGGATTTCGAGAGTGGAGCGTGACATATCGGATAGGTTCTGTGCCACGTTTTGCTGCAGTGTGATAGATATTCGGGCCGTAGCGGAAGTGAATAAGTAGGAGCGACAAGAGACGGAAGTAAATATTTAGGAGTGAGGACTGGAATTTAGTGCACCAGTCCGAGTCATTGCTTTTCATAATATTCCCGATAGTGTGATCATAGCCTAAGTGAGTACAGCAGATGAAGCCCTCGGTACATAAAGAAAAATTTTCACGAAAAGTCGCCGTTGTCAAGGAAGCTCCTTGGTTAAGGGTAACCCTTTGCCCATCGGCCTTTTAGCGTTGAGCATTGCCTAGTGAACTTTAAATCTTTCACACGAATTTCACTTTAGCTACTGACAGGCTATGTTCTTACTACAACTTTTCAGGATTACATTGAAAACATGGAGAGGCACTCGGACAACAAGAAATGGAAGCAGTGGAACTTAGAATCCACGGCCAAAATTCTAGAAAAGCGATTCCCAAACAGCTTCGTATGGGTTGTCCGGCCATCAAGATACCACCTCAATACCTTTGCCTTTTATCAAAACTTTGTGGAAACGAATATGTTTGGTGTTCCTGATCACAGAAACCCTGAATATGGTGCTTTGAAGCATTTGAGAGCACTTCTCGAGGCTGCTGTTAGAAAGAGTAAGTGTGATCACAGGGAACTCAGGCTCACCATAGCCTCCTCAAAGCCAAATTATAAGAATTGGTATGGGAATTTATGGTTTCTTTTTAGTAGGTGCGGAGAAACCAAAACATCAAAACTTGCTATAATGACGTTATTAGGGCAGGAAACAGTAACAAAACAGCAGAGAGAAATCTTTTTCTGTGGTATGTACTTTTTAATGGCGTGCATTTTAATTGTTTTATGGATCTTACGAAAAATTCCATACAACTCTTTATTAGAGACCCTAAGATCCGACGACGGCAACGGGAACGCCACAAAAGCAATAGGTTTAATTAGCAAAACAACAATTTTGCACGTGCATCACGCTTTTTTTTACATTTCTTTGCCGTCACTGCACGACTACGACGTAAAAATGCCTAATTTTACGATGTGTAGAGGAAGTACACAGGCGACGACGAGATTTCCTCTCTCTTTCTGAACTTGGATATGGTTCTTAGGAATTCAGATTTACGAGGGTTCACCTACATTTGACAAAGTTAGTGACATGGAGTAATCGCGATGAAGATTGAAAGAACGCGAATTCACTTTTTCAGCGACGTTTTCACTGCCGTCGCCGTTCTCGGATCTTAAGGTCCCTATTATTTGGCTTCGGGGAGGCTGTTGTGAGCGTGGGCTCCCTGTGGTGTGATGGTGATGCATTTGACTTTCTCGGGCTTGTCCCAAGGCGTTTAGTGCTTGTCTAATTCAGTTTATGGAAATATTTTACAGCTTTGGACATTCCAGAAGAAGATGAAGACCCGACATTTGATTTCCCTGTGGTCCTGGTAGGGTTCAGTAAAGGTTGCCTGGTCTTGAATCAAATCATTTACGAGTTATCTATGGTTTCAGCGTCTGACGACTCGCGGCTCAATGACTTTGTCTCACGAATCACTACCATGTATTGGTTGGACGGAGGCCATAGTGGCGAGTCCAACACGTGGATAACAGACAAAAAATATCTTGATCACTTAGCGTCGCACGAGTCAAGCATTCGCGTGCACGTGACACCTTATCAGATTCAGGACTCTTCGCGGCCGTGGGTTGGCAAAGAGCAGAAAAAGTTTGTAGACAATCTTCGCTCGCTTGGCAAGAAAGATGTTAAGGTCAAAGTGCATTTCCAGGACAGAGACCCCTCGCTGGCTTTTCACTTTAAGCTTCTTGAGCATTTTAAGACCTCTTTTAAGGGAAAAGTGTGATTATATGAACTGTAAATGACCTAAAGCGTTGGTCTACACACGCCTGAGAGAAAAACACAGCACGAATGTATACAGAAAACGAAGCAAGTGGTCAAGAATGTGGTTTTACTTTCTTCTTACGTCGCTTGGGAGGTCCGACGCCTTCTGAGGCTTACACAACGTATCACTTCTTATTGTTGGACAAATGAAGAGCCCGTAAACTGAACAGACAAAGCAAACAACGACGTTTTTGCGGCTTCGCCGCTCAGTCGTACTCCCGACGAAACCGCCATGCTACGCAGGCTATGTAGGGCTTAACCAGAGCTATTAACAATACGAACTGACACTCAAATGAAGCAACAAGGTTGCGAAGCAAATACATGTGGCGGGCGACAAGTTACGTAAAAAACTCGCGCTGGAAAACTGGTGAGAAAGGGTGTTGTTATTACGCTTATTAGCTCATTATGTGGTGCAAAAATTGAATGCATTTTCACGGCTACTACAGCCGTAATGCTCCCATAAACACATTTCGTGAGTCGATTTCAGTCGATTTAAACCTCGAGCTATGAGCTTGTTGATTTTGGTTGAACCCATGAATAGTACCATGTTTAATCCGCGCATGAAGGACCTTGATTGCGCATACCTGCAAAATTTATACGGGTAACCACTGATACCTTTAAATTGCAGTTAGGAAAATGGTGGACTATTCAGTACTTTTAATACATTATTAGAGAGTGGACATAACCGCGTAATTTCAATTGCGGACGTAAATTTGCAAAGGTGAAGGCCTAAACCCGAATAAATTCGTTAATATATTTGACTTTCAGAATTATACTTGTAATATTTATTTCAATAATATTTAAAATCAAATTTAAAACGTTTGTATTTAACTCAGTTTGCTAATATTTTTATTTTAGTTTATTTTTTGATACTATCAAGTATTCGCGCAATCGCAGTCGTAATATTAGACTGCAAACGGTCATTCTCGTCCCCAGAGCCACTCGGCCAAGAAAGGACGGGCTCTGGGGACGAGAATGTCAAACGGTCGATTTTTTTTCGCAAAATCAGTTCTTTAAAAGCGTGAACTGCCGGCGTGAGATTTTCCCGCGAAGTGCGCAAGCCTTGCAAACTGTACGGACGTCGCTCCATGCTTTTGCGGGCTGTTTTATATTCTATCATACTATCGGCAATTATTTAAAAAAGCATTACTAACATTTTGTTTCATAAGTAAAGTGACAACTTTCATTAAAAATGCATCCTGCTAAATAAATGGTGATTGACTAGTTTACAAACTGAGAAAAACTTTTGCTCCGCTCACACGGAACTGACGAACCAGGTAAAATTTTAAGGCTCAACCGGTCGAAAATGTTAGCGTGACCCGTGTTAACCTAACCCAACCTAAAGACCAATTTCGATAAAAATATGTAAATTCATACTTGGCTTGGAGGCCTAGGGGAATAAAACCAAGGAAATTATTTCAAGACTCAGCAATGAATAATACATTTCTTTTGTTTTATTCCCGCAAGCCTCGGTGCCAAGTATAAATTTAAATGTAACGAAATTGGTCTGTTCAGTAGGTCTGTTCACACGTCTTGCGCAAGCTGAGACGATCACACTCTTATAGCCTTAGTCAGGACTCCTTTATGGTCCATTTCCCCTTTCCCCGAACGAGAGCCTGTTCACAGACTTCACTTTTATGACTGAACTTATGAGTGAACTTTAAAAAATGTTTTCGTACTGATGTCCACCCATTTCTTAAAACCTGAAAAATAGCCTCTCTGGGATTCCTAGCAGAGCAACTGCAGAAAATCAAATGGACCAATCAACTCTCGAAGAAGGTTCAAGTAGCCGGCGCCATCCAAGCGCGGGAAAACCATGTTACAATCAAAGTCGCGCTTGAGGTTTTGTTTCAATGCCCACTGGTTGAGACAGTGGCGTGATAATTACATAGCGCATTAGCAATTCAAAGCCGGAGCAATTAAGAAAATACTTTTATGAGGCAAAACCGTGGTTGTCAGTTGTTTGATTCAAAGAGGCCGTTTATTCATTTAGGCTGTAACCTACGCTTTTTGGGCCATACCAAACGTGTGCTTGGTATCTTGTTGTACCCTTTGAACAAACATATAGAATAACTTTTATTGAAAACGTTTGATGATTACACAACACACTATAGTAAAGGTACGGAAAAACGGGTAACAAAAAACGTGCAACTTGTCTTGCAACATTGCTGCAAACGAGTTCAATAGCGATGTTGCGCGTTTTACCATCCCACATCAAAACTGTCTTGCAACAAATCAGGTTGTTAACAGGTTTGAAAGTGGGTGGTAAAACGCGCAACATAGCCATTCAACGCGTTTGTTGCCCGTTTTTCAGTACCTTAACGCGACTGTTTTCAATAATTGTACGTATATTACTGTTACTGCCTTTTAGTCTTTTATCTGACTACATTATCGTATTTTGTAGAAAGCAGGCTGGACGATAATAAAAACACCCGGCCTCCCGTCATGCATTCCTTTCGTCATTGCTTTACAACTTTTTGTGTTATACATGTATACGATCGATTTAATGGCCTTTTAAGCCTGATTGTGGGTAAAAACCAAGAATGTTTGTATCACAAGGAAACAGGCGGAAAACAAATCTCCGGAAAACAGAGGAAAACGTTTATGAAACAATTTCTTCGCTCATTACAGTAATAGCACTCCCTTGTTTTTTCCACATACGTCAATCCAATAGGCAAATCACCTTAACGCTTACGTAAGTTTTTGTTTTGATCATAACAGTATCTTTCTTTCACATAAAACAGAAGATGCACATATTCATTCGCTGATAAATGTTACAACCGTTTTTCGATATTTTTAATGGAAACAGTTTAATTTCTGAAAGTAAGTAAAATGTAATGAATCACTCTTATTAACGCGGGGAGTATATGTTTTTCTTTTATCTACCGTAATTGTTTATTATGCATTTTAAATGATAAATATTTTAAACATATTTCCGCTGATTGTTATTATTTTTCTTCGCATCTGGTTCCTTGACAATTTTTTTACGAATGACACATTGCACGCCTGTATGAAACCTTTTTTTACTCGTCTTTTTGCCAAACTGATCAAATTCATGCAATCTAAAATCTTTCTGTGTTGGGTTAATCTTGACTAAATTGTACTTATATTGTACAATTTAGTATCATCCTCAATGAATGATGCAAGAAATGTTTTAAATCAAACAATGCTTGAAGAGTTTTTTTCACGTTTGCCAGGTCAGCACCCAAATATTAAAAATAAATATTATAAGAAATGACTCCCAGCAGTTAAATTTCTTTGTGTGTGCCACACTTGTTGTTCCTGCAGTCTCCGGATCGAGACACTTCAAGATAGATTCGGACAACTGTGGCATATAATCGTTCCAAAATGCAATTTTGAGGGGTTGAAAGTTCTTTGCCATGTGGGGGGTCGCTTCTATTCGGAGATAAACTTGATTAGTAGGCATAAATTTCCTCCAATCTACGCCGTATACGCGTTCCGGCATTTTCTCTCCAAATTTTACAAAGTTTGTGTAGGCGGTCACCATAAAATCGCTGATGTTTCTGTCTGCATCAGTATAAGGATGTGGTGAGCTCAGATTCAACAGAGGAACGCCGAAGACATATGCCGTGATATCTCCATGAGCCACGCCTTCCCAATTTCGTTTGGGGCTATGCTTAGAGCGATGTCGAAACTCGTACAGCCAGGTTGGAGAAAATTGACTTTGGTAAACCAGGCTCGCATGGGTCGGCGCCACGACAAAATAATCAGTGAGGGCATCGATTAGACTCTGTCTTATTTTTGAGGAGTTGTTGCTATTTCCCGGCCAGTGTGTGTACTGAAACAACACCGCATCAACTAAAAGAGATGTTCGGTCCGCATAGTCCACCATGCTGTCGATGATATGGCCTTTTATGTATTCTTTGAAGATGTTCGTATCGTACTGCTTCAGTGAACTGTCTAGCAAGAAAGATCCTTCGTTACTCACGAATCCAGCGATTGTTGGTAGTTTCTGAAATTTGCCCGCTTTCCGCAGATTTCTAGGGGAATCAGGCAAGAAGTGTTTATCAACAACGGGATAAAAATTTCCGTTGGTTGCAAACTGCAAAATCTCTGACGCTTTTTTCGACCTTAGGCACCGCAACATTTGATCCGTCTTCTTGAGACCGCAGTTTAATTTCTCAGCCAGATTCCTCGAAGACCAAGAAACAACTGAATTGTCGTTGAAGGCAAAAGGCGACAAGTCTGTGCCACTTTCCGTGATAATGCCATGAACAAGACCTTTGGAAAGTGGAGATAGGATATGAAGGTTTACGCTAGCCCCTCCCGCGCTCTCTCCGAACAGTGTCACCCGCGTAGGATCGCCTCCGAAGCTTTCAATATTCTCTCTAATCCATCTCAACGCTTCAACTTGATCTAACATTCCATAATTTCCTGCCGCCGTTGAATCTCCTGTCGTGAAGAACCCAAAACTTCCAAGCCGATATTGAATGCAGACCAGAATAACTCCACGCAAAGGTAAATATTCGCCAGGGGACACGACCTGAACTGGAGTTCCGGCAAAAAATCCACCGCCATGGATGTAGGCTAGAACGGGGTAGCGTTGCTCGGATTTGGACGCATTGATCGGAGTATAGATGTTCAGGTACAAGCAGTCTTCACAAATGTTGTCCTGCTCCGAAAATCCATCCCAAGCTTGCCTGATTGAGGAGTTGTAGTGGTGTATCAACTGCATGCAGATGCACTTGAAGGACGTTGCTTGGTAGACTGTTTCCCCCCATCCTTTGTGAGGCCGAGGTGGTGCAAAGCGTAGGCCGTCAATCGGAGGTATTGCGTAGGGAATTCCCAGAAATTTATGGATCGCTTTAGCAGATCCGTGGGCGTTGGAAATTACCTGTGTTACACCTTGAATTGAGCCAAGTTTAGTTATGATCAGTGCGTCATGATCGTTGGCCTGAGCTGCGCCAATTACCAGCGTTGTGAACGCAAAAAGTAAGAGTTTCCACGGGATTTGATCATTCTTCGACTCCATGTTTACCTTCAGCAAGTCAATGCCAAATGGCTCACACACTCACCAAATAGCAATGTTTGTGCTTCGCAGTTCACCTGTCCAAGCGATAGGCTGACAACACAATCTTAATTGCACTCAAACAGGTAATTTCCATTAAGTTTGTTTTCCAATTGGTAACATCAACGGAAATGGCCTAGCATATTTTCTATTGATTGAAGCGGCAAGGGGTATGAATTAAATACCAAGCCATCGGTTAGGATAATTGGACAGGGTCTTTTCTCCGTGAAAGGTAATTATTGCAATGTCCCTTGCTCGCTCGTCGATAGAAATCTATTTAATTTGTCCGCTTCGCATGCCTTATTACACGCAAAATGTTTATAAAAATCTTAATTGGTCATAAAACATTTGTGTTATTTGATGGCCAAGATATCAATAAATGAACAACTAATTGTTCGAAAAAAATAAATCACTTTTGCTTTTTGCATTTTTAGTGGAAATTACATTCTCACCACGATACTTCTACTACACCATTGGACAAAATAGTCTTTACCTCAACGTGGCTTCACCTATTCCAGTTTTAACAAATCACAACGACCTGAGGGCAACGGTATTGATTCTCAAGCTGTTCATATACGTTCACCTTTTTCGTACAAAAATCGTCAATATTTGCAAAACTCTTTAC